TTCGATGAGAGGTAAGGTTTGCAGATACTTACTTATGTGTGTAGCAGCATCAACATATGGTTGTAGAAAAGCTTTACAACGTGCATCCCCTGAAAAGAAAATGAAATGAAAGAAAGTCAAATTTCGCGAAAAAAAGCGAGAAAAAAATTACATTTAAATCTGATTGCAGCAGTCTAACGGTTAGATTTGGTCGGGTCAAAGTGTTGTGTTCTTGGGCAAAACGCTTTACTGTCCCCATGCTCTCTCCACCCGGGAGTATAAATGGGTACCAGTGAATGGTCAAAAAAAGACTGAAGAAATACAGGGGAACATCAATCTGCCTTGGACTGGCATCCCATCCAGGGGGGATAAAACTTGAGTTATAATAACCAAGATTGGTAACAGGAAGGGCAAAATACAATTGCCCAGCAGCAAAGAAAAACAACTACAATAGAGAAAGTAACAACACATGAACACGATGAGGAAGAACATCTTAATAGGTCGAATGGTAGGTTTTCATCGCTTGTCTCACAATGAAGTCACTTTTGATGGGCACGGCGACGTTTGGACAGCATAAATCGAGTCTTCTTTAGAAAATTAGGTCAAGAGGCCACAATTCATCTTGCAAAACATATTGGTGCGCTTCAAATGGTTGGTTTTTGACAGAAGTGACTAAATCGTGAGACAAACGATACTTTCTTCTATTTGTTGTATTTTGATGCGACAAATCACCACATCAAGAGGTGACATCAGAGTTAAGATACAATTTCATAATTTGCCGAAGCAACTTACATGGTTGGAAGAAGTCCACAACCAATAGATCATTTTCTTTCTTGACGGTATCAAACGTTTTGTCAGTCAATGCAGGCACCAGGGTCTCAGGTACAACAGTGGGTTTTGCCTTTAGAACTGCCTCCGAAACTTCATCGTCTTCTGTCTCTTCCTCTGAAATACAGTTAAAAGAGGAAAAAGAAAAATGAAACAACAACGACCAAAAAAAAAAACAGTATTGGAGTAATCCAAAGGACTAAGAAGCGAAGAAACGACGGGTCGAGGGGACGAATAGAAAAAAAAAGAGGGGACGAAGGGACGCAAGGACGTAGGGACGAAGGGGCAAAGGGACGAAGGAACGAAGGGACGAAGGGACGAAGGGACGAAGGGACGAAGGGACGAAGGGACGAAGGGACGAAGGGACGAAGGGACGAAGGGACGAAGGGACGAAGGGACGAAGGGACGAAGGGACGAAGGGACGAAGGGACGAAGGGACGAAGGGACGAAGGGACGAAGGGACGAAGGGACGGAGAAACGAAGATACGAATGGACGAAGAAAAGGAGGGACGAAGGGACGAAGGGACGAAGGGACGGAGGAACGATGGGACGAAGGGACGAAGAGACGAAGGGACGAAGGGACGAAGGGACGAAGGGACGAAGGGACGAAGGGACGAAGGGACGGAGAAACGAAGATACGAATGGACGAAGAAAAGGAGGGACGAAGGGACGAAGGGACGGAGGAACGATGGGACGAAGGGACGAAGAGACGAAGGGACGAAGGGACGAAGGGACGAAGGGACGAAGGGACGAAGGGACGAAGGGACGAAGGGACGAAGGGACGAAGGGACGAAGGGACGAAGGGACGGAGAAACGAAGATACGAATGGACGAAGAAAAGGAGGGACGAAGGGACGAAGGAACGATGGGACGAAGGGACGAAGGGACGAAGGGACGAAGGGACGAAGGGACGAAGGGACGAAGGGACGAAGGGACGAAGGGACGAAGGGACGAAGGGACGAAGGGACGAAGGGACGAAGGGACGAAGGGACGAAGGGACGAAGGGACGAAGGGACGAAGGGACGAAGGGACGAAGGGACGAAGGGACGAAGGGACGGAGGAACGATGGGACGGAGGGACGGAGGAACGATGGGACGAAGGGACGAAGGGACGAAGGGACGAAGGGACGAAGGGACGAAGGGACGAAGGGACGAAGGGACGAAGGGACGAAGGGACGAAGGGACGAAGGGACGAAGGGACGAAGGGACGAAGGATTGAACAGACGAAAAGGCAAAGGGACGAAGGAACGAATTGTGGAGCGGAAGATACTCAGGAGCATACGAGGTAATCGGCAGACTGTTTCATATACACTTGGTGCTGCTCAAGCTGATCTAAACCTGGTTTAATCCTATGCTACACATTACTTTCGCGAAACGAGCATCATACCTGGTAAATAAACTTCATCCACAGATTCTTCACTGCTTTGAGATGTCTCCGATTCACTCTCCTCCTCCTCGTCTAGTTTGTCGATATATTCTTCGCTGTCTTCGTTTTCTTCGTTGGTGTGTGGGAATGAAATTAGTGCCTCATCTGACAAGCTTGGAGGCAGTGAAACAGGTCTCTTGATCCTTGGAAAATCAATAATTCATATAAGTTTGGGATATTCAAACATCAGTTCGATAAATAGCTGTTAAGGAGAGCCCAAAACGTTTCTCTCCACTTTGAAAAAAAATAAACAAAAAAAAAGACAAAAGCAAAAAAGAAACGACATCTTCTCAACGGAGAAACTAAGATTTTTTATTTGAGTTCTCTGAGTTTCCCTGAGTAGGAGAAGAGATGGAAATAGCCTATTACGAGTGTGTTTGTAACATTTGTTTACTTTGTATGGTCGATTATGAATTTCATCATTGCTTCATATTCAAGTTCACTTGTGTACTGGATGAAATCGTCTTCGGACTTGGTCAAATACAGATAAACAACTGGTAACTTTTCTCCTTCCTGAAGAAATGACAGAGAGAAGCAAATGATAAGCTTTCAAAATATTAACTCTTGAAATAATTTCCTGCTATCGAGGTTAAAATATACTGATCAATTAATTGTTCCCTGACCTGGCGCGAGACTTTCATCAAAATAAATCACTTATAAATCCAAGACTATATTTTTATTGGGAGTGGAGAGTAATCCGGAATTGCTTTCGTTTCGCTTTTCTTTTTCCGGTGATTGGTCTAGAAAACTCACACCAACTTCTCAACCAATCAGGTGCAATACTAAAATTGATCAACACTTGTTCACTCGCGTTTTCCCGCGCTTCGAGCGGTTGACAAGTCTTTGTATTAAGTTGGCTTTTTTTCCTTATAATTTCCTCTGTTCACCTAAATGGCATTTTCTATAAATTTAGTTTGGTTCCGCAACTGCCAATCGATATTCCATCTACCATAAATAAACAGCTGCCTAAATCTCGAGAGACGAAGTGAATCATGCCAAAGTCTTCTTGGATTAAGAATTAACGAGTTGAGTAGGATTCCGTTACGGTTTCAACACAGATTTCAAAGAACAATCGCTTAACTCCAAAAACTTACAAACATCTTTTTCTGCCGCGTGGTCTTGACATATGCAAAGGTGATTCTTCCCTCTCCACCCCTATCAAAAGTGCGAACGATACGTCGTAACGTTCTGGAAAATTTCTCACAGGGTTCGTGATCTATGAAAAAAAAAAAAAATAAAATAAAATAAACACAAAAATTAACAAAGTTGAAATCTATCGTCATGTGCACGCCATAAACAAGGAGAAACCAGCAAGAGGTGCCATTTTCAGGTGTGTGATGTATTTAGGAGAGATGTTAGTTTAAGTATGTGACTCATGAATAAAAGCAGTTAAAGTTGCTAAAGCAGTAAGCAAAACATTAAAACTGTCATTCCGAGTTAAATTGTACTTACAAGATGTTTCAAGAATGCGTTGAAATGCTGTAGGCATGTCGGAAGGGCAAAGATTTTCAAGGATGGCAAAAGTTGTATGTGTAAAAAAGTTAAGAATTTGAAGCTAAAGTTGGAGCGTTTCTCTAGGCGCAGGCCGAAAAAATCGATCACAGGCGTCCCTCTTACGAATTCAAGCAAGTAAGAGCCTAAGAGAAGCGTGCGAGATATGAGAGTTACGCGCGAGAGAGTGGCGCGTGACTCTTCGCGCTCGCCTCGCGCTTGCCTCAAATGACGACTATTTTGTACGCTGGTCAGAAATACATGCAGACTCGAACTTTAGAAATTTAGTGCACGTGTGCGTGTAAATCTCAGTAATTAGTTACCTTCCTTGCAGAAAACTACCATCAAAAAGTCCAGCGCAAAGAGATAGTTCGTATCCAGGCTTTTCATAGCGTCTTTGTAGCTTGCGTATGTGAGCTTCTGAAGAGACGAGGCCTCGGCTAAATGAATCAATATATCAATCAATCAATAAAACACAGTAGATGAATCTTCATTGCTGTCAATAGTCATCAGGGATTGCATTGTTTTTGCCTCATTACGCTCTGTGATTGATCAAGTAAACTGATGTCATTCCCTCAACCAATAAGATGCAACTGTAAAATCAACCTCGACTTGGTTTTCCGAGTTTTCCCGCGCTTAAGGCCGATCACGTGAATTAAATTGAGTTCTGATTGGTTTCCTAGGATTGTGATCTTATTGGCTGTTGCAATAACCCTGTACTTTAGCCTCTTGTTAAATGAAACCTCTTCAGAAAGCGCTCCAAGATATACTGAGGGCATCTGAGTACGCGAGATCGACTCCCTTAGCTGGCGGTAGCCTTGCAAGGAACTCGGTAAACAAAAACAAATAATTGGGCGAGTAAAATATGGCAAACCTCGGCTAATTTAGTAATTTGGCTGAAAGCTCCACTAAGCGGACAGCTTAATGAGTTTGAATCAAATCTTCATTATTCCCTCAAAACAGTCAGATTCGAAATTGTGGTGATCACACATTCTTTTTCTCCTGTGCAGTAAACAATCAACCGCTATCATAATAACGCAGTTCTTAAACCACCGAGGGACTTTTATGCGCCTGTATAGAAGATGCCTGTTTCGTTTTCAATCTTTCATTAAATTAACTACTTTGGAAATAAGTTATTAATACAAAAAACGTTGAGTTAACTCTTACCAATTCTGTTGTACTCAGCAGTAGGATTATCTATCAAAGGTTTGATGAAATGTTTCAAATTATTTAAAGTAAATCTTGCGATATTTTCAGGGAACAATTCTATATATGTCTAAGGGAATGAAAAAAAAGGACAATTGGTTAGTTAAAGAAGATAAGTGTATCAAAGGAAGAAAGAAACTCGTGTACTTTCCTAAGTGAAACAAGAAAAGTGGGAAACAAATATAAAAACAAACGAACAAACAAACAAAGCAATAATAATATTTTTAAAAGCACAGTACTGTGTTGAGAACCAACCTATTGGAATTTGAAAAAAAATTCTTACAGTTATCAAAATGAGTCCAGCTTACGGTACTTAACCCACAGAGCTATCCCTCCTCAACCTTAGTGGTTTATGAGTAGGCCTTGATAACCAGCGCTTCGGCAAGAAATTTTCTTTATGCGGACAAAAGTACGAGGCCAAGAGCGGCGAGAGCTGGCGAGGGGTCTGGTAATGATTATTGGTGCCAGACCCCCGGTAGACCATTCCCCGACTCGTCTCAAATCTTTCCGCGGGCCGAGAAACGCGCATCATGCAGCGCTAATAATCACGTCCCGCCCGCCAGCTACAGTCTCTTTAGCAGTCGCTCTTTAGGGTGTCACGCAACTTGCTGACAGTACTGTGTGACATACCAAACAGACCAAACAAAATTCAAGAAACTATATGTTACGAGAGTGTGATTTATCTCGTTATAAATGCAAATACCCTGTTATCACCATCTCCCTTTGCTGCTACAAAAGCTGCTGTTGGAAAATTGCTGTCTTGGGCCAAACCAAACGACGCTAACATGTCTTTTTGGTCATTTCTGCAAAGAGAGAAATTTAAAAAAAACAACATTAATTTGTGTAATACAACAATTGTATCAATCTCTCTCCAAAAGCCCCCGTTCACTTCACCAGCGGTCGTTACACTGGACAAACGTTGCAGGGGCTCTAGGAATGAACGTGAAGAGAATTAAGAAAAATATCAATTGGGGGATTATTAGTTGATCCAATACCACATTCTCTGAACCAGCCTCTACAGAAATGTATGGCAGACAGTAAAGAGAATTACTAACAAGATCTTAGTAGGGAAAAGTTACAAAGTGGGGTTGGTTACATAACTTAAACCAGCCAAAGAGTCACTTCTGTGAGTCTAAGAAAACGAATCAAATCAATGTCGATATTTGAAAAACTGCGCACCTACCCTTCCCCTAAATCAACCTTAACCCAAACTTGTTATCAGTTGACTGGTTTTGGGTTAAGGGAGGGGTGGGTATGCAATTACTCGGATACTGACATTAATCTAAGAAAAGGAGGGAGGGGAGGGGTGGGTATGCAGTTGTTCAGTTACTGATATTAATCCTACCCCTAAACCAACCTTAACCCAAACTCGTTATCAGTTGACTATTGTTGGGTTAGGGGAGGGGTGGGTATGCAATTACTCAGATATTGACATTAATCCAAGAAAACTTACACATTGACAAGTATCACTCCAATAGCACCTTGAAACTCTAGAGCCATTTGCTCAATCTCCTTTGTGTCAAGATCAGCAACTTTATCCGTGAATACAAACAATTTGTCGACAGGGGGTTGCAGGGAGTCAAACACAGTTGATCTGTTACTTGGAAGAATTACCTGCAAGAGGCATACAAGAATTGCTCAAAAATGGTGAAGTCAGCTTACAAGCCATTGATGGCTCATTTTCTTAAGATTGTACCAGTTTAAGCAGCATAAAGCAACAAAGAGTGTGGCTATGCCACCCCCCTTCATCCCTCGGAGACAGTCAGTGCAACATCACCCTCCAGCACTTGGTCAAGTTATCTTAACAGTTAGCCAGTCCCCATTTATACACCTTGGTGGAAAGAGGCACTGTCAACATATACCATTGTTTTTTACAAGAACACAACACAATGACCTGGACAGGTCTTGAACCAGGACCTACTGATCCTGAGTCCAGCAAGTTAACCATTAATGAAACCCTTTTCTTTTCTTCCCAGCATCAAAGTTTGAGTAAAAATTTATTACCAAATTAACAAGCACATCCCAATGACCCAGCATAGCCTTAAACCTAGAGAAAACTTGGTTACTTTGTGTCCCAATTATCAAATACCTTGCTATTGGTCTATAAAAACCAAGTGAGGTACAAATATCTCCCCAGGACCTAACCATGATCACACAATGACAAATAGATACTGACCCTCCTTTTGTGATTTGAGAGTCTCTTTTGGGACAGAACTCCCTTAAAGTTTGCAAAATATCCCAGAGAAAAAGCAATTTGGATTTTTTTGTGAGTGGGAAGGCCTAGAGACATGAAGCAGTAAATCAATCATGGCAACATGTCAGGGAGACAAGTTGACATCACAATTCCCATGGTGTAAAAAAGTGAATTTATAAAAAATTTTCATTACTGCTGTAGAGTTTTGTCACAGCAATCAACTGAAACAAATTCAAACATGGTTTAAAAGAGATAAAACAAAGAAAATTTTACTCAGAGTCCATATTAAACAATTGTGTGAGTTATCTTTTCCCAGATAGTTGAATAAATTTTTTGGTTTTAACTCTCAAGCACCCATGTTAATGAATGCGGTTTATGGGATGAAACAGAAACAAATTGGCAAAAAAAAAACATTTTTTGGGGCATGGGTTGGGAATATAATCTAAATTCTCCAGACATTAGCATCATCAGAACAACTTTTTATCAGTATCATTAAACAGGTACTCACATATTTTGGAAGTTCTTGGCTCCTTACGAATCTTATCAATGGAGTTTTTTCAACTTTTCCTGTAAACTTGGTGGATGGGCATTTGTCTTGGGTATTTTTCATTTGTTTACAGTGAAAAAGATATACAGCTGCCTTTTGGTTTGTGAAGAGACTGTTTGTAAAGATCAGACAAAATAATTGAGATCAGTAACTTGCAAAAAAATCATCAAAGAGGCTAAATATGGGAAAGTGCTTATAGCTTACAGGGGTAATCCCAGAAATTGAAGAGTATCAAAATGGGGGAAATGTGCAGGCTGTTAAAGTTTAGCAACCCTAAATTCAAGCCCCACAGATTTCCCCTTAAAGTAATACAGCTGAATCATCCAGTAAGATCATGAAAATAAAGGAAATGATCACCAACTGAGGAAGCTTGATTGTTTAACAACAAATTCTCCAGCTGGCGTCTTAGGAAATGTATGGAGAATGTTGAGGAAAAAATTTTAACTGCATATACAGTAGAAATGCTAATTACTATCAAAATGAGGTATCTCAGTTTTCTTATCTACAGTATGCTGATTTCTCAGGCCAGTGGCCATGACATAATAAAAATTCAATTCCACTATTTATTTTGATCACAAAAGATGCATTTCAGAATGAGCAATGTGACTCTATTCTGATCTAGGACCTCCACAACAACATGAACCACACAGTCCCAAAGCAATGTTTAAAGCACAAAGACCTGTACTGCCTAACAGAATTTTCTTCACTAACCCAATTTTCTTCACCAATTCTTCATCTGTTGTGAGACCAAAGAACACCTCGTTTTTAAAGTAATGCACTAATTCAAGGAAGTGTCGATGCTCTGTTTAAAGAAAAAAGAAACCATAAAATCAACCTGAAAACGAAACACTAACAGCAATAACACGTCACTAATTTACCAACTAATATACTCAAAAAAATTTTCAAATACTTCTGAAAAAACACTCAGTAGCTATTAATAGTATAATACTGTGTCTTGAGATGGCCAAAATACTCATCAGATACTTTTGGGCCACACTGAGAGTATCTTTTCACCAGCATTTGGTAATTTTAATTCAACAAATCATAAACTTGTGAATGTGTGGTTGGGAAACAATGTTGACATCTTGAATTTGAATGCAATGCTCTGAGAGCTCGCTTGAAAATTCTGAAAGGTATCCAAAGAGTATTTAGTCAGGGATTTAAATGAAGTATTTTTCAAAAGTAAGCCAGGAGTCTCTCACTAAGTACAAAAGGAATCCTGCTGTCTGCAGTATAGTTTGTAACTATATCTTATTATTAAAAATTTCAGATCTCAAATATCATTGTCATGGTAACTTGGTGAATTTCTTTCCATTTTGGATAATCTGCAGCCATTTTTCAGTATTCAGTCTGTGGAGAGAGATTAGTTCTAGATGACCTAGCTAAGAGGCAAATGGAAATGGAGATAAAAGGGGACTTGATTGAAAATCAAGCAATTTAAGGTTTCATATTTCCAGAAGGTGGCCTCTTTGTATCCAGCAAATAAGTATAAAAAAATGGAGACAGTGACTTTCAGGGTAAAAATTGTGAAAAAAAATTGCTGCAAGTGGAACTGGAAAAATTTGGCAAATCATATAGTGAAGTTGCACAATTTTTTTTCCTTACGGTTGTGACAGGAAAGTAAAGGAAAATCTTTGTTTTAGATGGTAACCTGAAGCAGGTTTTAAGACTTCCAGGTGTTGCAAAAGGATTAAAAACATTTGTATTTACAACTGTTACACTGGGTTGTATTTTCAATTCTTCTGTGCTCAAATATTAACAACAGACTGTCAAACAAACAAAGTCAATTTGTAACATTCATGCCTGTGAGACAGGACCCCTTGACAACTGGAGCAAGAGGTTTTAATTTACACTTAATTGTGAGGGGGTGATAAGACAGGTGTTGGTTATGAAAAAAAAAAACTAGGGTCACCTTTTATTCCTAGTCCTTTGACATAACAGATGACGACATCTTTATATCCCTGTTCTACAGCAAGAACTCTATTAAATGAGTCTTCGTCAAAAATGAAATAGTAGTGATCAGTTAACACATACCTGAAATAAAGACATGAACAGAAAAAAAGACACTGATTAACCCTTAAGAGTGACATGTATCCAGCTTCTCCTTACAATACCACCCATGAATCAAACATTTAGGTTATGAGAATAAAGGAGATGATCACCAACTACAGAAGCTCTTGATTATGAAATTAATTCTCTGTGTCAACACCCTGTGAAATGTATAGAGAACAGTATGGAGAATATGCATGTTGATCTTTAGGTGTAAAGGATTAGGGATAACATACTGGCCCTCTTGTTTAAATAATGGCCCTGAAATTGCTATGCCACAAACACAATGCTGCCAGAAAGATGAGTGAACACAAAAAATACCACACTTTGCCCTGGATAGAGTCATACATCGTGCTTGACAGATTGTAGACTGCACTGATGCTTATTTCAAACACCTAGAGGTTGTTGAAACAATTGTTCGGTGGAATCTTTCCCTGGGATCTCAATACAAATTCTCCCTACTATCTGCCACACTTTACTTATAATTCTAACTGTAAGAACTTGATACTAGATCAGACAAGAATCCACAAGGGATGTTTTTAGTACTTCTTAACAAATTTCTGCTGGACAGTGTGATAATAATATGAGGAGAAACTACAGTTTGATCACTGGTGAGAGTAAAAAGGTCAAAAGGCCACACATTTAAAGGATTTTAAATGAGCAAGAAAAAAAAAAAAAAGAGAGAAGAATTAAGTTGTATTTAACAACTATAATAAGGTCAGTCGTTTTCCTGAATATCTGAATATCTGTATGTTTGACTTTAAGGAAACCAATTAAATGTCTTTCGTAATAGCTATTACATAATTGCAATTTGTTGGTATTGAAAACAGCTATATTGAGTAAAAATAATTAAAAAATTTTGGATGACAAATTATTACCAGCCTCTGAAAGCTCAAAAATGTCTGCTATTTTTTTCCAAGAAGTTTATATCACAGAAAACTAATATATGAAACCTAATATATGGGCAAAATCATATTATACGCAAAAACCACCTGCAGGTATTGAAAGAACAGGATTACAAAAGACAAACAAAGGCCTTCGATTTTTAAATACAAGTCGCAACAATATAAAGTGTGGAAATTAAACAAAAGAGAAATGTTACACGTTCCGATTGCCAATTTCCAAAATCAATAGATACTTCTTCTTTTAAATTCATCCAAGCTACAGGGAGTTAAAAATGAATCTTTAATGTCGAATTTAGAAACAAACCACGTGTGGTTTTCTCACATTCGTAATCTCTCGGCAAGCTTTATGATACTTACTGTAAGAGGTTAGCCACGATCGAATCTTCGTCGAACAAGTGGCTGACATCGATTCCTTCTGAAGGAATCGGATCGCCTTTCCTGGTCAAATTAATAAAATAAATTTCGAGTCAAAACGTTGATGGTTTTGCGATAACTTCAATGCGACACAATACGCGTTTATGACTTCATTTCTTGAAAGCATTACCTGTACACGAAAATGTTTCGTTCCTTATTAGAACATTGAGAAATGGACTCTTCTGCACAGTTTACCTGCAATTCGATTGTAAACATGATGTGTTTGAAATAATTTCGATTTAGTTGTAATATAGAGGGAAGTAATTGGGAGCAACGATAATTTTGTAAAATATTGATTAAGTCTAGCAGCGGTTCGGTTTAAAAAGCGTAAAATAGTCTTCACCTTGCATAATTCAATTCCAAATGACTCTAAAATGTCCGACGATTTGTCAAATTCTTTGGCAAACTTTGGATTCCCCTGTCTGATAGCTTAGACAAAATATAAAACAATTCATAAATAACTACATCTAACGAAAACAGGAAATAAACAGAGTGAGCATTACTTAATACTTGCCTAAAGGCGATAACAGCTTCAATAATCATGAGAGGAGGTAAACTTACATGGTTTATCAAAGAAAACAGCAATGTAATCTTGGTTCGTGGATTCCCCAATGTTTTTCAAGTCCTCTGAGGTAAGTTTTCTGACAGGGCTAACTCCAAGTACAGCGATGTGAAGACAACAAATTAGAAAAAATAGATACAAATTCTCCAACGTCATCTTCCTTTGGAGCTAAAACAACTTATGGTAACTCTTAACGAGTTATTACAACCTATGCTCTCTGAAAGTCTTCCCTTGTTTAAGTATCACGTCCCTGTCTCAGTTTATGCTCCGTAACTGTTAGCCTCGACCAATAACGGGAAGACTCGTAATAAAATGTATTCTGTAGTCTCAGCGCCAACATCGACCGAAGTAAGGTCTTTTTCACGTGTCGTCTCGATTTTTTTCAGAAATCCGTTTCTTCCAAGGCAGGTGGCTTTTTGAATATAACTGCTTTGTCTTAAACACGATTGTTCACGTAATGAGAAAGAAATCTGCATTTTACGAGGCGATTTATGCACAAAAGATTTGCGGATGTTTGATATTCACTTGAATGAGTTTCTGTCACGCATGCCTGAAAGAAAGTGTACGATTGTCGCGCATGGCGTGACAATACTTGATTTCGTATGAGATGGAGAAAGCTCTCTTTCTTGATCTTCTTCTTCTTCATCATCATCAGACCAACCGAACATATCTTTGTTTATAACATTATTTCATATTCATCACTACTTAATGGCTATTGATCATGTGTTCTCTGAAAACTACAGGAAGTTTTAACACGCTTGCGATTAGCGTCTGAGCCGGAAGTATACGAAATTTCCAAAGAAATTAATTGTTTCCTCAAGCTATACTGTTTTGGCCTCCCGTTTTTTGTTTGTGTTGGCGATCACTTACTTCAAGCTACAAAATTTTATCAGCCAAAACCAAAGAGGAGCAAGGCACTACTTTTCTCGTAAATTTTTCAACGGTCATCAGGTTGCTAAGTGAGATAATGCCCTTTCAAGTTTCATGTGATCAGTTGATCGGCTAATCCCTCAAATGCACGCCATGATTTTTTTCATGGAGAAAATTCCTCCTATTTTTTTTAAAGCTCATTGTTGTTTACAAGTCTTAGCTAAACTAGCAGCCTACAAATAAGGAATCGTTGTGTGACACCTAGAAAAAGGAACGTTGCGTTACATCTTAAAACGAAGGCTGCGAATTGCGAAAGAGAGCAGATTGTTGTTCATCTCGGATTTCAACATTTGACTGTCGTTAAAAAGACAAAAGTACATCTGTTTAATGTCGTACACACCCCTAAATAAACATCAGTTACAGTCATTGGAGACGACCAAGATTAGTCTATTGTCTTCACTTTCGGGGGCAAAATGCGAACGTCTTGTCTACTCTTGTCTCCACAAGTAGTTAAGTTATTCAGTTTAACGCCACATCCAAAATATTTGTAATGGCCATCAACAATAACAACAATATTCTCCGGAAATTATCGTCGGAGAGAGCCAGAGGATATTACCAGCTGAATGATGAAGAACCTACCTATACAGCGCGATATCTCGGAAAGACAAAAGTGGTAGAGTTTTTGCGGCCCGAAAATGGACTTTCGGTGAGTGCAAGATGCGTAGACAAACTACACGATGGTGTTCAAGGAAAGGGGAAGAAACGCAAGGTTTCGATTTTGATATCGTCAAATATCTCCCGTGGAATCACAGTCACTGACCAAGGTCCGGGAGTCAAGGAAGAAGTTTGCCATAAGTTGTTTGACATTGCTTACTGCTGTACAGACATCCGAAACAAAATGATATTTTCTTTCATCGCCGAACAACAAGGAGAACTCCAATGTCATGTGTTCGTTTTTAAGACAGAGGAAACGGCAAAAGAAGTTTGCTTGGCGCTTGCAGATGCGTTTAAAACCGCTCACGGAGAATGGATACGAAAACAGAAACGCTAGAAGGCAGTGTAAAGAAGGAGAACGTTATTTCTGTTTCTTAGAGTTCTCGTTCTGCTTTAGCATTAACGATGAGTCAAGGTAGAACTCGACCGGCTCAAGAACACGGATTTTTTAACTTCGTAGCGGGCTAAAAACGTAAACTAGAGACAACTCCCCGCTGACTGTTGAACGAAGGTCAGAGATTTTTATCATACCGTAGTTTAATTTTTATTTCAATTTCATCGAAATCTGTTGAATACTTCCACCAGAGAACCTCAAAAAGTCAAGTTTTTTCTTCTTGTAGGCTAGGAGGCCGTTACATGGCACGTAACAGATTAGGAATGCAGTATTTGCCCGAGGAAGTTCATGAAATATTTTAGTTTTGAAACAATGGTCGATTAGGGTCGAGCTAAGGCAAAAGGCCACTGAAAGGAAATTCGCATCTTTTGATTAATGCAATGTAACGAGGGATGGTAAATTCAGGGTTCGCTAGATGTTTCGTTCACTTCGTTAAACTTGGAACACTTTCTATTTCTTTCCATACCCGATCGAAACCTTTATCTTGTGACTAAAGGAATTTAATTTTCAGTTACTGTATAGTGAAATCCAATTACATTTAAACGATCAAAATCACACAGAAATTTACGGTATGGACAATTAATACTCGAGCGGTTTTCATTGCAAAACATTTAGAGCTTTTGACGTTCGTAAATTTTACAAAAATTGTCAAAACAGTAAAAAAGTAATATGATAAGTGTTACGAAATCTGTTCGGGTAAACAAACTGTGGTAGATTGGTTAATTAAAAAAAAAGGCGAATGAAGAATTTCAAAGCATGAACATTGTTCAACTGTTTATTTTAAAAGCAAAATATTTTAACTAGGTCAGCAAAAGAAACAAACTTTCTATTATGCACTTCATTTTGCGACTTTGTTCTTTCATGACTCGTCTTGATGATTCGTTTTGAAATTCGAACAATATTTGGCAGCTGTTCTTTGAAATGTCACGCGCAATGTTATTTTAGGGAGGGGACACAGAGCGACATTCCAAACGCGGCTGAGGAAGACCATAGCGACCAGCTCGGTAAAAACGCAATTTTCGAGGCGCTTTCAGCTTTCTTGACGCACATAAAAAAACAGCTCCATGAGCCATTGTATACTTTCATATGCGCCATACCCACTATGAAAACTAATCTAGAGTTTAATTAAAAAAAGAAAAAAGTCTTTTGTTCCTTCGGTCTGGCACGTGACCCACGGAAAGTCCCAAGGTCACTTGGGAATCGTCGGACGGAACGGGGGTCTAGCAACGAGGTTGCGTGAGATATTTAAAATTTTCTGAAATAAAGGTCATTAACCGCGTGATCATGATCATTTTAGTCACAATCTAAATCTCCATCATCTACTTATGATTGATAAACCTCGCCCGCTTGGAAATCTGACTGAAATATTGTGTCACGTAAGTTTATATGTCGACAAGATCACTCTCAGCAGCTTCAACATCCCTTCCTAGGCAACTCACGGGGATTTGACCGTTGTCCGTGCTCGAGAGGTGGAACGTTACCTAGCTGAGGTGGGAAATTTGAACCAAAAGTGTCAAGTCTTTCCTTTCTAATACTGGTATATCATATCTTTTAATATGGAGGTGTAAAACGTTCCACTTTCGCGAGCGCGTTGAAATTCTCTGTCGCCGATTTCGCCCTTTATAAAAAAATTGACCATCAAATCCGGCACTTGGATAGACTGCCCCCAGGCAGTGATAATTTGAACAAATCAATCTTCAAAAATCAAATATAAGGGGGGCGGATTGCCCGTGGGGAATATTGAAGCTTCGAAATGATCGACACAAACTTGATTGGACAAAGAGCACAGCAAACATACAGGGAAAGAGAAACTCCCCTTTTCTTAAAACAGGAATCTAGTTCTGGCTAACAGTAAACGCTAAAATAAATATATCACTCTTGATATCGAATTAATGTTCTGATTTTCGTAAAGCCACTTGTATTAAATCTCAGGATGCGCAACCACAAAAGTAAGTTCCAGCGGAAGTAGTGACAAAAAATAACCAAGGGAGGGGAGGGATGATAGCTTAGCCGTACGCTATCTTTTGGCTTTCTTGAGTCTCTCCACGTTAAATTTTTCTATCAGCTCCGCTTGTACTTGTTGTGAGGCGGGCAAGTATTTACAGTATTCCATTGTGAATTCACCTTTTCCCTAGAAAATTTGAAATATAATAATTTGAGATCATTGTATCTTACTTCATTTCTTCAAGGACCAGTTTATATTCATCACCGAAACGAGAAGGGGAGAAACAAAGGATTTTCTTGGGGTGTCACATGGTCACATGAGGGAAGTCTAAAGAAAAATGACGGGGGGAGGAGGGGGGAGGAGAGTTCATAAGAATGTTACAAAGCCTTTGACGGGATCAGATAAATTTTATAATCAAACAAACAAAACCCTCCAACCCCCTTAGCCCCCCCCCCCCCCGTCTTTTCAGCCTGTGAAGGAATTACCACAAACTTGTTTTTGAATATGGGTATTTCAACGCAGGATCAATATCAGTATCTGGGCAACTGCCCACCTACCCCTCCCCTAACCCAACATTAACCCTAAGTTGTCATCAATTGACTGTCGTTGGGTTAGGGGAGGAGTAGGTGGGCAGTTGCCAAGATACTGATATTGATCCTCAACGCACATGTTTTCTATCCCACTTACAAATATCTTAAAATGTAACATTACTTCACATCCCGATACCTTCCTTTATCCTAATCTGCGTTTGCATCTGGGCGACAACATAAATAAATATATACCGTTTTTTCTTTCTTTTCCGCAGAGCAATAAAATAGAGGAAGACCAACCAGCAAACATTAGACTCTAAACAAACTCCTGTACCTGTGTTTGCGACCGTAAATCGGTGGAGTAACCGAACATGTCGTTTAGTGGAACCTGGAAGTGAAAAACATTATTAAGGAACCATCGAGAAAGTGGGCATTGGGCATTTCCTACATACATGAAAGAGGACTCAAGCAAAGGCTGTGATCTAAGCTAGCTCGGATACTTTGCGAACACAGCCACCGAGAACTTTTGGAAAGCTGCGTCATGACCTTGGTTTAGTTCTAATAATCGACGGGTATTTTCTTTCTAAAAAGTGCAGAATTCTGCGGATCTTGCGAAATGCCCACCGAGAACTTTTAATTTTGGGTCAAAAAAAAAAAAAAAAAAAAAAAGAATCGCTGAAGGAAGAAAAGCTGGCAGGGCAAGCAACAAAAGACCGCCCCCCCTCCTCCCCCCTTAGCTCAAGGTCTGAATACGCCACTGGAATGGTATATGTTGTGATTCAATTTTATCCTTGGTTCAAATTTTCTTTTCTTTTGTTTTTGGGTATTGTAATGTATGATAATGAGTTTGAAACAAGGGAAAATAAAATTTGAACCAAGGATAAAATTGAACAACAACAGATACATGTCTAACTCAATCAATCCTTGATAACAAAGCTGTCAAATGTCTGCGCATGTGCGAATGTTGTAAAGACTGAGAGGCATGCTTTCACACTGTCAGGACCGTATTGCTCACATAAGTTATGAATAAACCACACTGGTCAGTAACCCATGGTTTAGAAAAAGAGAATAAGTTTTTTGATAAAGCTTCACACAAAATTGTAAATCAACAGGATACCCTCAATTAGATACGTTTAGTGATGGCAACGTCTCTAGTTATACTCTTTCTAAATTGTGTTGCTGTTTCGAAATTTTTTTTTCCGCATATTTTGCTTAAGAGCGGTTGTTCATTAGATATTAGAATTTTTAAATTTGCGCAGGAAATTGAGCGCGGTCGGCCACAGTCGATACATTTGCGCATGCTCGACGTCTGACCGCGGTCTTGTATTTAACTGATTGGCTTTCAATTGACAGCATGTGTCAAGAATAAAGTGGAAAGTTTTAATACCTCGGCATAAATTGTAACATAACCTTCCGCCGCATCTGTGCCAGTAATTGCACCGTGTCGACGGTTAAGGCCTGAAATCACCACTCCCTGTAGAGGAAGAAAAAAACCCAGTTGCCTTAATTGGTGCCACTTGGAAACACAGTGCCTTAGTGCTTCGGGTCGAGATGTCCAGGTTCATAACCTGGCCGGTCATAGTGTTGTGTTCATGTGCAAAACACTTAACTCTTACAGTGCTTCTCTCCATCCAGGAGAATAAATGGATACCGACGAATTGTTAGGGATAGCTGATAAAATGCTTGTTCGGAGAAAGGGGTTGGTAACCTCACGATGGACTGGTATCCCTTCCAGGGGGTAGTGATACTCACAAGTCGCTTCATGCGATGGAAACCGGGATGAGCTCTGGTTACTGAGTTCGAGTACAGACTCTTATTGGTTCTAACAGGTTGAGGCGTGATTGTGACGCAAATTTACCGCTCATGAATTGTCACCTTGATTTAATCAACACTGTATGAAGTATTTATTTTGTTAGCTGGAAAAAGGTATATTTGAAACTGGAACGAACTTGGACGGTTTCCAATATGGAGAGCAGGATCTCATTTACACAGTGGCATGAGAGGGACGGCAGCCCGCGATTTTTTTAGGCCCGAGAGCATAGCGAACGTGCAAGGGATCTGTGAAGGGTCTGGAGAAACCATCGCAGACCAGTAGCAGAATTCTCGTGCGCACGCATCGCCGGTTCGAAGCCCATAGGTTTCAATGCTTTTGTCGCTGCGTCTCTTGTGTTAACTTGCTAAAATGACTAAACGACACGACTAATTTCGTAAAATTTTTCACAAGGGTAGAAAATTAAAAAGCAGGGAGCAAGAGAGATATATCAGAGGGGAGAGGGAAAGTAGCAGAAAGCGCCTTACTTGGAATTCTTGGGGAATATTCACCTCCACTGACATGATTGGCTCCAGAATCAGAGGAGAGGCATTGGGAAACGCTGTCGAAATGAACAAAAAAGATTGGCAATCATGCAATCAGAAGTGCTGTAGGTTTTCTTGTAGACTTACCGTCTAACTTTAAGTTATTTACTCTTAAGGTCTAAGATTCACTCTCTTCAGCCCTTTACACCCTAACACCAGTTTGCACTTTCTCCATTCTGTTCTCTGTACATTTCCTAAGGGGTCGTCAAGAAGAATTTGTTTAACAATCAAGAGCTTCTTTGGCTGGTGATCATTTTCCTTATTCTCGTGACCTTAATGTTATATTCAGGGTGATATTGTAAGAAGAAATTAGATGCTGATCACTCTTAGGGGTTCAAGGGTTAACATGATCTCACGCTTCTTCGTCCGTTACTGTTACTAACCCATTTCTATTCTGCACAGCTACATAAAAATCGCAGAAGAATTGGCATTCCAATCACTTCCTGGAGTGAGAAGATTTTCTTTTCTTTCATAAGGAGCCGATTATTTGTTTGTTGTTCAACCTTTTGACCCCACAGAGTGATGAGCATCTAATTTCTCCTCACAATATCACCCCTGAATCAAACACTAAGGTCATGAGAATCAAGGAAATGATCACCGACTAAAGAAGCTCTTGACTGTTAAATTAATTCTCCTTGTCATCACCTTAGAAAATGTGTATAGAACAGTATGGAGAATGTGCTTACTGATGTTAGATTGTAAAGAGCTCACTGGAAAAGAAAGCGCCGAAAAATACGAACTCAACTGCAAAAGAAAATCGAAAAAAAAAAAAAAGCGTGGGAAAGAATGCTGTGCGCCAAGAAAGCGTGGGTAAACAGGCTAACGACAGAAAAAAGCGCGGAAAATCACAGTACAGCATTGTACAGAGAGTGTAAAGTTATGATACCCACCTGAAAAGCGCTATGGGATGCGACTCACGCGGTGAAACGTTCCCAGCTATAACTGAGCGCGGGGAAATGGGGATTCAAGTAACAATAAGATACGTTCCGAGATGTCACGTGCCCGTACCTTCTCTCATGGCTCCCATGGCTGCAAGTCTGAAAGCGAGGTCACTGGAATCCACTCCGTGAGCCGCTCCTAAAGTATTTATTCAAAGTTTAATATTTCAAGCTACTCAATATTTGGATGCTAATTCATAACCTACGGACTGGTCATTAGTTATCACCTCATAAGGAAGGGGGGGGAGAGGGGGGGGAAAAGAGGAAAGAGGATTTTGAATGTCACGCTAAAAATTTATCTGATCCCAAACAGGCTTCGTAATACTCTAATAATCTTGGGTCAGGAATTTTAAAACCACAGTAAAGAGCAAAAAGATAAGAGATGCCTTTAAAGTTTTCATCGTCGACAGCCGATAATAAGCAGTTACTTTCTTAAGGCTTTCAGGCCAAGAGAAGCAGATTTATTATTAACGCCATCGGTTCAAATCTAAGCACAAAGATAACATTCCAATATTTATGATGGTAGGCAGGTGATAACAATAATACCGTGTGACAAACGAGGCGCAGAAAATTTAAGCTTGTCACGAAAAAGATACAGTCTGGCTGAGGATTGTCACGAAATCTTGCTTCGTAGTCGTTCATAATGTTTTGTATCAAAAAGAAACCATTGAAATTACTAAGGGAAATTTGCGCTCCGTTTAAGCTATCTTCGTGTTTAAAAAACCTGAAAAGCTTCCTATTTTTCCCTCGACGAAAAAGTTCGAGAGATGATCTGCGGAATCTGAGAGCATAACGCTTCCAGAAACTTTCATCGCTTAAATTATTCACACTTTGCATATTGTAACAGTTTTACTCAAATAGCGACTAATGTCATGGCACACAAAAAGAAAATGACGTCAAGAAGTTTGTGTGGTGCAATAAAGGTGCGCCCGCGTCATCTCCCATCATTCTTTGCAAGGCCAGCAAGGAGGACAGAAGAAAGCAAATTGACGGGAAAGGAGAGCGACACAAATCCGCATGGCGACCAAAGCTGGTAAGAAAGGAGGCAAGAATCAGCAGAAAGCACCGAAGAAGCCCGAGGAACCAGACTACTTGCAAAAGGTGGACCCTATTTTGATGAAAAATGTCAATGAACTCACAGGAGGTCGCAGTAATCTACATATTTTTGTGCCTCTTTGCGGCAAGACGCCGGATATGCGTTGGCTAGCAGAACAAGGTCATGCGATAATAGGTGTAGAAGCTTCTCCTCGCTACATCAAAGCGTTCTTCCGAGATTCTAAGCTGGAGTATACAGTCCAGAAGAAGCAAATCACGGCTGATAAGAAAGCAGACGTGTACACGGCGAAAGGCCAGAATATTACACTCTACCATTGTGACATCTTCAATTTTTCTCTTGAGGTAGCAGGAGGAAAGTTCGATGCCATCTGGGATCAGTCCGCCATGCCTGTGATCAATGCGATGGGTAAAACACGACTGAAGGAGTACACGAGCTTAATGCAGTCGCTTCTTAAGCCAGACGGCCGGCATATGGTGGAGATTTGTAAACACGGGTCTAATTTTGTGACAGCAAAGATGTTAAAGTCACTGGTTGGAGATCAATGCGACGTGCGTTACATAGGTACGAGAATATGGAAATACGACGAGGAAGATGATGAGTATGACCCTGAAGATCACGAACACGAGGACCACGGACACGGAGACCACGAACACGGAGACCACGGACACGGAGACCACGATGACGAGGAAGACGTGGAGATGTTTTATCACCTTATCACTTTCAAGTAAGTTTGCTGTTGTTGATCTTGGAATATGCAGAACGCGTGTCGGACTGTCCAACTCACCGTAGAGTCTCTGTGACTCAGTGGTAGAGCATCGTAGCGCGGAATCTGGGGTTTGATTCCTCGTGGGGACTCAGACATTTTTCCTTGTTCCCACGTTCGTGATAAGACGAACAAACATCCGTCAAAAGTAAACACTTATCGAACACAATTTTACTTGAAATTAACAGGCATTTTGTCTGCTCAAACATAAATGCCCCGACAAAAATTAAATGTAAGGTTGGTTTAAATTTGACTCCAAAGGTCTCCATTTTTGCTGATGTCTGTAAAATTCAGCACAAAGTTGGAATTGCGTGAAATTTAAACTGTGGATTTAACAGCACATAACTTTGCGTAATGTTCTATCCCATGTTTAATGAGGCATCAAAACCGAAACTATTTAAGACGAAGAATAATCTAAGTGATCGTTTCACGAAATACAAAATAGTTCATCTTAATGGCCTGTAGCTAGAATATCGACGTTTGAACTTTTCATATTTTTGTAAAAACCCTCGTGAACGAACAGCTGCGGGATATCGCACGAATTTGCATACAAACTCGATCATAGTCACGCAATCGCTTTTCGCCCGTTACGCTGAGGAATAAACATTACCTTGCTAAACTACAACATAGCTTTCTTGGGCGCAAGGAACAAAACCAAGGAAACCCATTTCTGAGGAGGATTGGCGAACGGGATCTAAATAATAAGATCTGGTAGTCTTTGAAATTAAAAAAAAACAAAGAAAAACAAAAAAACAAAAAACGTAGTGGATAGGAAAAATTTAATGACTTGTGTCAGCTTCCCGTCCACGAGAGCGATGATTGTCGTTTATTTGGAAACTTACCATCTTCAAGGACAAACGAATTCAGCAGCTTGCCTGTGACCACGCTCGCAAATTTCCCCAAGGAAACCCTGAGAAGTAAACATTTACCAAAAAAACATGTTTGAGCAAGTTTAACCTATCGATGTGTGCGTGAAACGAATTTTTATGTTCATAAATCGCATCCAATTGAAAAGCACAGTTTCAAGTTGCAGTTACCTTTTCTATAGAAGGAATAAAATTCTTTTGGGGATGTTCATGCCCACAGTTTCGATCGACAAATTCGAGCTCCCCAGAGGAATTCTTGTGGCATAGGCTGCAAAACAACGAACAAGAAATCAACATGTCTCCACTCATGGATTGAGGAATATCTAAAGATTAAGAGGGGGAAAAATGTTTCGCCTGGTTAGGTTCTTCATACCAATAGAAGGAGGGGATCGTTCTTTTTACGCAACACACCCTTGTGGGAACGGGGAAGACAAGTTCCATAGCAATTAGACCTTCTATTAGGTTCCCTCATAACGACGACGAGACGCCATGGGAGAAATTAGGAATCTGATGCTTCCCCTTTTCCCTCCGGTTACAATACGTCTAATGGGTCTCTCTAGGGGGATCTTCAACGTTTTAGTTTCACTGCTCTTGTCATTGTTTTATTTCAGGGATAAGGGCGCGACAGCTGGAAGGAAGAGGAAAAGTGAAATGCAGATGGAAGAGAGAAAAGAAAAGCAACCCAAGCAAACCAAAGGAAAACAACGACAAAAGAAAAGAAGCAAAAAGTGAACGCAAGACAGACGTTGGTTCACGAATGGCGCCGAAACTTCACTCAGGAACTCTGAATAACATAAAATTAACTAGATAAAAAAAGACAAAAGCTAAAAGCAAACGAAAAAACAAGTATAAGACTGTAAGAGTGCTTCTAAACTGCAAAACTAAGCAAACAAAAAAAAAAGCATATAAAAACCAGACACTGTAAGAGTCCATCTCAACTGATACAAAAACAAAAGAGCACACAGACATGCAAAAAACAAGTATGTAAAAAAACGGATACTGAAAGAATGCTTCTCAACTGAGTGTCACAAACCTTAAACAACCTAATCACTGTAGGCCTATCACAACAAAGTAACAAATCACTGGGAGCTGATAGTCAACTAGCAAACCGCCGTCAAGTCATGATTAAATATACTCTTTCACCTGATTGGTTATGAGAGTGATGCAAGTTTTTTTTGACCAATCATAGAGCGTTCAAAAGCAAAACTACTGCAATTCCAAATCACCTTTGACACCCAGTTGGAAACTGCTCTACCAGGTTATCGAGTAGAATTTGCCGTCAAATACCTCGATTCTGCCGATGACTCGGCCATATTGACCAGCTCCTCCTGTTTGCTTTTTATGAAGATACTCAAACCTAAAATTCAACCATTTGACATTTGGTTACTACGATCTAATAAAAAATTCTCCATTCTTGTTGCTTCACGTTTTCTAGCAAATTAGTTGAGAGAATATAGTGTTACATGGAAATAACTCTCTTCAACTGCTAAGTGTCAACATTCTCATAAATCAATTGCTCTAACGAAGGGCGAACGCTCGAAATGTCATCTCTTTTACTCTTTACGGTGGTAAATTTACGCTTTCAACTCAGTTTTTAACATTAAACCTGCTATTCTCATAAACCCTCTGCTGGAAATTGTTATGAAAAAGTTAAGAGAAATTAGATGTTGATCACTTACGTGGCCTTTCCGCTTATTGTTTCTCTGAAGGCTACCTTGGGTTTACCGGATATTACAGGACAGTTAAACTCTGTTCGCATTCTCTGTGAAAAAAAAAAACGAAAATTGCGTATTGCTTTAGATGATAATAATACGCAATAGCAACTTTGAAGTAACTTTATAGTAACTCTAAGCTTAAGGTAACATGTAGGTAACATCAAGTGTTAGCTTTAAAGTTGAGGAAATGCTTTTGTCATGGTAATTATACATTGTCACCCTTGAAAGTTAAACATAATAAAGTCGACATTAACGCATCAAATTGTGTGGGATTATACCCCTTTAGTACATACTAAAACAGTAGATAGTGTTGAAGGCGCGTTCTGATTGGCTGCTCAAACTCTGAATATCCGTTGCAATTCACTTCCAAGTAACTCGCCGAACGTTGCAGTAATAAATGAGTTACAATCATCTCTTAGGGATGTATATCTTACTGCTTTAGTATGTACTAAAATAACTATTTACTTCAACCTCAGTAGCTGGCAGTGGATGTTTAATTCGCCGTTTCGCGGTCCGGTAAATATTCATCCATAGCCTCTTCCACTTCGGTGAATAGTTTTTAATCGTCAAATCATAGGGAAATTCGAGTTGCCTTCAATTACTCCCTCAAAAATTATCATCGACTGCCTTTTCTTTGTACTGCTTAAGCACTTAAACGAGGGCAACAAATTACGTTGCTGTTAACCCTCTAATTTCCATGAGCGACCAAGACAGAATTTCTCCTTACAACATCAGCTCAATATCAACCAGATAAGTGATGAGAAAAAAGAAAAAATATCAATTTGGGGATAAGTAGTTGATCCAATACTAAATTCTCTGAACTAACATTATAAGAATTGTAGGGTTGACAGTAAGGAGAAGTACAAATCTGATCTGGGAGTTAAAGGGTTAAACTAACAAACGCCTGTTTCGAGAACCTAACAAGCAGAAATGTTTCATTAACCTCCCAGCAGTGATTAACATGTAACTTCCCCCTACAATATCTATACATTATCCAGCAAACAGGTAATGAGAATACTCAAACTTATCAAGCAGAGGTTTTTAACTTGATCTAACACCAAATTCTAGTTACTAATCTACAAGGAATTGTGCAGCAGCCAGAAAGGACAACAAGCCATTTTACAGTTATGTACTTAGTTGCCAGACCTTTGATTTGGAGTGAGGCTGAAGGTGACCTTGCTGTGATAGAGACCAGTATCTAGTTAGCATGATAACAAAGTAATTTGCATTTGAAAAGCAGCAAGGTTTGTATCATAACAAGATCACCCTTAGCCTCATTCCTGTTCAAAGGCTTGGCAACCAAGCACACAACTGTAAAATGGACTATTCAAAGGTTAACAGAAATAAAAGCAAGTATTAGTTGATAGCGTTGAAGGCGCGCTCTGATTGGCTACTCAAATTCCAGATATCCTTTCTAGTCACCTCTGAGCAGCTCCTGCTCTAAAATATTATACTCGTCACAGGAAACAACGAGTTAAATCATCTTTTAGTGCTATACTATCTCACTGTTTTAGTACATGCTAAAACAACTATTTACCCCAGTGTCACGGCTTGATAAAAATCCATCCCTAGCCACCGACTCTGAGGGAAACAGTTGTTAATTAGTCGCGCGCAGAAAGCGTTATGACACCTCTGGCGTAGAATTAACTATCGCCCATATTTCACATGTTCATAATGCCGCCCTCACCTCGGTGTATATGTCCAAATGAAGCTCTCCCATTCCAGAAATGATAGTCTGACAAAGATGAGAAAACAAACATCACTAAAAGGATTAACCCTCATTGGGAAAAGTATTGTTCTGCGACTTACCCATTGACAGGAAGCACTTGTACTAAATTTCGATAGTTAAAACAAGCCTCGCTAACAGAAGAACACGGGAGAGAGGTGAAATTTCAAGAGTTTTGAATACAAATTTATTTTTCGCAAAGTTTCCTTACCTCCTCCTTGCTTTCATCGTCGAAACTCACTCTAAATGTTGGGTCTTCACGAGAGAATCGGACTAAGAGCTTTGGAGAACTGAGCTAAATCATTCTAAAGAGAAACAAGTCGAATCAAATGGTTGATAAATCGTTTACCTCTATAGCATTAGAGATTTTTCAAGGCAGGTATGTTCACGACTTATGTGGCACGAAGAGACTTAAGAATGTCTCACATGCTTTCATGATTCCAAAACCAAATTATATTCTGAGAGTGTTTTGAGATTAAATTGTCTTGCCCAAGAGCGCAACAAAAATAACCCAAAAATAAGATCCCCATCCTGAGAAAGGGGGTAAAAGCCAAGAAACTGTGGTGCTGCGTCGGTGGAGAGTATAACAAGGTAATTTGCTCTTATCAACTGAGTTGATAACGTAAATTGGCCAACGTAGAGAGTTTGAAAGCTGACATTTTGAGCGTTAGGCCCCAATGCCTGACGAAGGGCTAACGCTGGAAACGCGTCAGGGTTTGAACTTTTACGGTAGCGAATTTAAGTTATAGATGATAATAATAAATTACCTTCCTTGTCCCAAGAACAGGGCCTTCATTAAAAGCGCTTCAACACGGGGGTTCCTTCACCCGCACGAAAGAATGAGGTCTAGAGCGATGCGAGCCCGCGAGAGGTTTTTAAGGGTTCTAGCACTGATCATTAGTGCCAGACTCCTCAGAGGGCGGCAAAAACGCGTTTACCGTAACGCTCATATTTTGTTCCGCTCGCAAGCTAAAAAAGAGAACTCAGTGCTAAGCCAGTTACTTCAGAAGGGTGTACAGTAACATACAATTTACGATAATAAAGACTTTCACACGATTAGTTTTCACCTTGTTCTTTGCCTCACAGCGAGCGAAATAACTGGATCCGGAACAAAATTGGTTCCCGCAACAAAAAGCATGAAATAATATTTTTGTTTCCCATAACCGCGTTACAGCATCTGAAATTCAATAGTTGCGATCATCATATTTTTGCCTTGAATCTTATATATTTTGCAAAGAGACAGGGGAAGGGTGGTGTGTAGTGTGAGGTATTAAAGCAGCAAAATATTAACTCTTTACAATTGGAGTTTTTCGAGGCATTTTCTTCATAAGGACAGTCTGGGATACTTGTAAAGAAGAGTATAAACTTTATTGATTGACAGTCCCACGCACTTTGAACAACCAACAAAACAACGTGATAGAAGCGAGCAAAGTGCAATTTTTTTCAGTCTTAAGCTCGCAAATACATGTGAAGAATAATGAAACGTAACCACTCGCTCACTAACTCTTAAGTTTGAGGAATTATTGTAAAAACAAGGGCATGATTGATGAAATAAGTTAAATTTGAATTGTGAATGACACATGCCGAGACACTAGCTGGTCCTAAAAGGAATGTTTCAATTAAAAATACGATGAAAGAAAAAACAAGAATTCGGGTTTCGACCGGTTTAACTCTGAAGCCAGTCTCACGCAATTACCGCAGAAGCCACGCAGAAGCCAATTTGACGCAATTACCGACTAAATTACAAAGTTGGGAGCAAAAAGCTAAGAGGAAGGGGTACTTGTTTACTCTAAAAAGGAATTAGGAATTAGACCATACCAAAAATTTTATGAATTAGGGAGTAAGGATTAGCATTTTTAGCGTTAATTGCCACTTGGGGGGGGGCGGGGAGGGGGGGGAAAGGGGTCGGAAGATTATGTTTACCTGATCCACCTAAGACTCCGTAATGTTCCTCTAATACCCCCCCTTATTGGCAGTTAACATTCAATAGTCATAACTCTGTCAGCCACAACTGACTTCCCCCCCCCCCCCCCCCACGTACCCGTAGTGAATGGCCCTTACCATAGAGAGTGATTTGGCTCCTTCTACAGTAAAAGTGTCCCCAGATGCACATTCCACTCCAAATAAGGCACATATATCGCCAGCACCAGCCTCTTGAACATCCTACGAAGGAGTAATATTAATAGTCGTTAAAAAAATTGTGGGCTACTAAAATATGAGCTCCATTAGACTGTGAACAGGCCCAACATTATCATCGCTTTAGGCATTATGGTTTAAAGGTGATTTAATTGGCGAGAATTTACGAGAACTTGAGCAATGTATACCCCTCCCCTAGCCCAACTTGTCGTCAGTTGACTGTTGTTGGGTTAGGGGAGGAATAGGTGCGCAGTTCCTCAGACACTGACATTGATCCATCCTGTTAACCCTTTAATTCCTGACAGTGACCAGCATCTAATTTCTCCTTTCAATATCACCCATGAATCAAACATTAAGGTCATGAGAATAAAAAAAAATGATAATTAAACAAAGAACCTCTTGATTGTTAAACCAATTCTCCTTACCAGCACGTTAAGAAATGTATAGAGACCAGTATGGAGAATATGCATACTGATGTTAAGGTTAATCAGAGTTAGTCAGCCTCTTTTCCTTGATTGCATCGTTAGGATACAAAAACGACGATAAGATTTTCATATCGTCGTATTTTTCGGTTACCTCCATAGTGTCCGAATGCATTCGGACGATCCTTGGCACCTTAAGACGTTTCCCGGTCCGAGTATTTACAATATAAGCCCCTCGCTTTAACAAGCCTTGGTACACTCTGAGGTAAGTCAGCTGACCGTACCTTCCGGCCTGTAAGGAAATCAAACAGACGAAAACGTAATGAAACTTCGGTGAAAAGGGCTCGACAATTCAGCATACTTGGCTTTCGTTGCAGTAAGTCCCGTAATCTTTTAACACCTTGCAGTGACCGTGAGACTCAGAAAACTAAGAGCGCCAAAATTATCTGAGTAGTGAGATCAAAGAGCGCTTGCTCGAACTTGCAGAAATTACCTCTCATCATTAGCCTGCAGAGCAAGCCTAATTTTGGCGAGCGAGTGCTTTCTCGGTGAAAATTGTAGCTGCCATCTTTAATTTTCACGGCAGCGGAAGGCTGGGGAGAGAGAGAAATTAGTACCAAGGGGGTGAGTGACGGTCAAAGGAAAGGAGAGGGGAGGGAATGGGGCAATAGAAATTTCCCAGTCTCCCCACCTTCTGCTCTAACTCTAACGTGCTTGTTACCCGCCCTAATAAGACGCATGCGCTGCAAGCAGTCAGTTATTTATTCCATAGAAGTGGTTTACATACAAAACTCTTTATTTAACACCTCACCTCGAGCTTGAAAGCCAGACCCACGAAGGGATGAGAAGAACTCCTTTCACTGCTCATCTCCACTTGTTCTCCAGCACTACGATAAAAAATCCACTTAGACAATAACAATTTCATGCTTTGTGTTGTAAGCTTGTTTATAACTGAGATTAATGAATAAAGGGGGTAAGTTTCTAATGAAACTGTGGTGCTGCATTAGCGAGGGCTATTACAAGATAGGGTAATTTAGTATTATCAACGATAACGTAAATTGGCCACCGTTAAGAGTTTCAAAGCTGACGTTTCGAGCGTTAGCTCTTCACCATTCGCTCTGACGAAGGACTCGAAACGTCAGTTACAATCTCCTGTTATACTCTCCCATCGACACAGCACCACAGTTTATTTAGAAACTTACCCCCTTTAGGTATTACAAGATACTGATTTGGTTTCATCAACGGAGTTCATTGACCCTTCGCTCTGACAAAGGGCAAACGCTGGAAATGTCAGCTTTAGAATCTCTCCACGGTGACCAATTTACATTACAAACTTAACTCAAGTTGAGAAAACCAAATCCTCTTGTCATAACAGAGATTAATGGGGAAACATATTTATATTTCTTCAAGGCAGTTGTTGGTTGTTGTTCGTGATCTGATAGTTTCTCTCAAATATCTCTGGCTTTCACAAAAACTAAAACTTCGAATTCCAATTCAACTTGGAAACTACCAACAAGAGAAAATCACGTAAATATCCATCGCTAAATCCAATCTATTATGTACCAATAATGCTTTCATCTAAATTATTTTCTGTTTTCCTGATCTGTGAAATTAACCCTTACTCTAAATTCCTTTGAATTTGCAGAGACATAAAATAATCTTGTTACAGTAAATGAAACATCTCTTTAATAAGCACACGGGTCTTTAAAATAATAATTATTTCGAAACGCAGCTGTCCTAAATTTCCAGACAAGTATCATGTTGTATACATTAACTACACCTAAAAATTATATTTGTAACGGAGCAAAGAAATTTGACTTCTTACTTTTCAGCATCCAAGGCAAAATTTGTCACCTCAAAAGGTTCAGGCAGGTAATCCACAACACCATCAAGGAGAGGCTGATGGACAGAAAAACATTTTTAATGCAGTGAGACCTGTTGGCGTGTCCAATACATTCACCCTACTAGATGGTTTAGCATATAATACATATAATATTTTGCGAGTTGCGTTGTCTTTTTCGAAGCCTCGTCGGGGCGAAGAAAAATAGAAGCGATGAGCAAAATGTCCACTCGTATACTTCTTCTTCATATGATCTATTTAAAAACAATCTGCTCTTTTATGCATGATTTTGTCTACAACCTAACGCCTCCTAACAATTCAGAATTACTTATTTATTCTTCAGAAAAACACTACTATTTTACAAGGTCCTCAACGGCTGGCAGGCTCTATCTTAACCACGCGAAAACAGAGCGTATGAAAATTTATTTTTCAGGACTGGATGCAGGGATCTGGAGTAGCATTCCCACCTGTCTTCGTTCTCTATCTATGTATAAATTTAAAAGACTATTGCATGGACAGCTGCTGAACATTTGGATGCGAGAGGATACTTAGTTGATGTTTATACCTTAATTGATAAATTTAGGAAATTACAATCTTTCCAGTTTCATTTCTCGTGGATGTTGTTGTTGTTGTTTTTTTCCGCGTGTAATTTTATTCCAGTTGTAATGTGTAATGCCCAATTGGCTTATCTGTAAATTATGGCGAACTATTTTTCATTGTTCGTGTATGTGCAAGCTCTCCTTGTCATTTCCTTTGTTAATTCAAACTTGTTATTGAAGAATTTATTTTTGTGTGTGTTTCCCTCCCGCCTCGATTAGCTTCGCTATTTTGCAGGTAGGGATTGTTTATTATGTATTTTGCTAAAATATTGCCAAAATAAAAAAATTTTGTTTGTTTTCGTTTCTTTTGTTATGTTAAACCATTGTTGTTTCTCTTTCTAGTTACGACATTCATCCTACTCGGCCTTATCTATGCATCGTATCGATCAAGTCTTCTGTGGCTTTGAGGTGGAGCACGCATCTGGTTAAAAATAAGTTGATCTGACTGGGGTTCAATAATCTTCGCCAGCAACTACAGTTATTCTCTGACGAATCTTCTTGTTTAAAAAAAAAAAAAAAGAAAAAAAAAGGAATGTTCCATTCTTTTTTCAACCATTTATATAGCAGACACTGACCTGGACCCCCTTGTTCTTCAGCGCAGACCCAACAAAAACTGGAGTGAAGCATCTCTTTATGGTCGCTCGGCGAATAGCAGCCTAAAACAATAAACATTTCTTTGGGTGAATTTTGGATGGAGTTCTTGTTGTGTGAGTTAAAAGCAACCTTACAGTATTATCAAGCCTTACTCAGCTGCAGTTACATCAGTGGAGGATCCAGACCTTGAGCTAAGGGGACGGGGAGGGGGAGCCCGCCGGCTTTTCTTCATTCTGCGATTCCTTACAATTCAAACCCACTGCAACATAGACTCAAGGGGTACGTTTCGAAAGAAACTGTGGTGCTGCGTTGCTGGGAGAGTATAACAAGGTAATTTGGTATTATCAATTGTTGAAAATAGTTGATAACGCAAATTGGCCACCGTTAAGAGTTTCAAAGCCGACGTTTCGAGCGTTAGCATTTCGTCATTCGCTCAGACGAAGGGCTGACGCTGGAAACGTCAGCTTTGAAATTCTTAAGGGTTGCCAATTAAGGGTTGCCAATGATTAAAAAGCAAAATGTCGTTGATGGTGATATAATCTGTACGTCTGTTCTCCCATATATCATGGGCATGAACCACTCAAAATGCGTATGTAATTCAGCCCAATATAGAGAGAGGAAATCTGTCGAATATACAGCTCAATCCATCCATCCACAGATCAGCCCTAACATTTTCAAAATACCTACAATTAATTGTTCCTCTGTTGGTGGTATTTCTTCCAGAAACATCTCCGCAAGAGTGTCATCCACATTAGCCACAGTTTCTAATGATTACAAACCACAGCACTTAACAGACGGTAATTTGGGGATACTTAGTTGATCCAAGACTAAATTCTCTGAACTAACATTATAGGAATTGCATAGTTGACAGTAAGGAGAATTACAAATTTGATCTGGGAGTTAAAGGGTTAAGCACTTTAACACTCTGACTGAAAAATCTAATAAGTAATTCTTGTTACTGTCTGCCATACAATTCTTATGATGGACAATTCTTACGATTAAAGAATTTGGTATTAGATCAACAAATAATCTCCTAATTGATATTTTTCTTTATTCTCATCTCTTGTTTGCTTGATGTTGTATTGATATTTGATGGGAGATTGGTCCAGAAAATTTTCCCCTTTCTCTTGAGCTCTGATCCAATCAAGTTCAAAACTTGAAACAATCAGGACTTGATGACTGGCATTTTCCAACACTTAATTTTACTTCATTTCACGTTGAGTTCCCATTGGCTCCCTAGGATATTTTCCTTTGTTCTGATTGGTCATTATCATAACTCAAACGAAACATTTGGAAAAAAAAAAAAAACTCAAATGTTATATGTACCTATCAGCTCCTGTCTTCTTGTTGTACACTCATTGACCATGTCTTCAGGGATCACACCTTCTACCACTTCAGACCTGTTCGGTAATAATTTAAATCAGCAGTAGTTGTATAACAATGACAGAGCCAATTACCCTAATTTAATTTTTTGGGAGACTTTTTTAGCTCAAAGTTATGGTGTCTTAATAATCACTGGAGCAGAGTTATTGGATTTCTAGCCTTGTGATTGGCTAAACAGCTAAATAAAAATAAAATAAAAGTCATGACATTATGAATAATCTTACCCATGATTTCCCCAAGTAATAAGCCTTCCAGCACAAGGTCAATGACTCCTTTTACCTCAGATTCCAAACCAATTGGCAACTGGGTGAAGGCTGCAGTGTGTTGTAACTTTGCTCTAGGGAAAAGAATTTTTTCAGTTTTTTAATTTTCTTTTGATATAGATTGTGTAGTAAAAATCAGCGATAAAAACAAGCATTATTTCCACATTCCAAGGTCATTTTCAAGTTCTAATGAAATAATCAAAATTAGCATACAAATTATATAGTTTAAAAAAAACAGATGAAAATGCAACAAGCATCTTCTCAAGTGTAATGGGTGATCTTTTCCATTGTTCTTGTCACCTCTCGCAAATCTCAGTGTCATCCAATCCATGGTCGTAGGAATTCAAATTGTGGCCTCACAGTTGACATGTTTAATGCCACACTGTTCAGGTCATTTTTTGCACACATATTGTTCTGTTTCTCATTTTTTGTATTCACAGAAATTTTACTTTGTTCCTTCTTTACAATGGGGTTTTAACTTTTTTATGACCAAAACAATGTTCCACATTCTTTCCCTCCATCATTCATTCCGTTCACCTTATCATTTCAATCACTCTCAAAATTTTTTTTTTTTTTTTTTTTTTTTTTTTTTGGGGGCTACACATTGCAATATCTCAATTAAGATAAAAGTTTGGCCAGACCATTAGTTTGTGAAGAATATAATGTACTGTTCCTACCCAAATGTGATATCTTTATGTAAATACAATGAAGAGCATTAGCAATATTTTGAAAATCAAGATGCTATACTTGTCACATGCTCCTCTTTAATGTAAATCAACAAAAAATCAAACAACAAACACTGTGACCATTTTTACCTAATTTGACTTAAAACTTTGGTTGGATTTGCTCCTATTCTGAAAAAAAAGAAGAAAAATAGACATCAATTTTGCACTTTCATATCATTCAAAGTGTAAAGTGTATTCTACCAAGAAAATCACAAGGAAGGGACTTTCAGAGACCTCCCAAATGCATATGAGTAGCTAATTTGATTCTTATTGTTTTGGCTGCCACAGACAATGTTGCACTTCACGGTAAGGTCCATACATGGATCAAAATGCAAGACTTCAAGAACCAAAAGTGCAGCCATTCAATCCCAGCCCCAGTGCATTTTATTTGAAATTTAGGACAAGATGGAGGTACCTCTTAAAAGAAGGAAAACCGAGGGGTTTCACTTGTTTTTCAAATACATGTATTGGCCAGATATAATCTTTTCTTGGAGAATTTGGGTGTTAACAATACAACTTGGTACTGATAATCTATGATCAAAACAATTTTTAACAATTGGACCATGCTTGGATTGTAGTTGTTTTTCCAACACAGATTCAAATTGAAAATAAGTGCTCAAACTACAAATTGCACACTAAACAATTTTAGAAAACCTGATCACTCATCTGTAAAAAAGCATGAAGGAAAGGCACTTTTTCCGTTCAAAATCTAAATACTATACTAACATTGTTTACTTACAGTCTAACAGCTTGATGTTCTAAGTTAAATTTACAAAACTGTTTAGCCTTACTTGAAAAGCTACAATTAACTTTACTTATTTATGGTGGGTAAATGTAATTTGTGGGGAAAGATGTTTCCTTTAATTTTTGCAGGTAGGAACTTCAAGTGCACTTTTTTTTATAGGCTGGGATTTACAGAAAACCAAAATTTCCAATAAAAAAATAGATTCCTTAATAAGTTACCTGTCCAGTTTATTGATAAAGGCAATACAGGGTACATTGTAACGCTTCATTTGACGATTTACTGTTAATGTCTGGCTCTGTTTAAGAAAACAAACAGAACCATTAGTAATTTACCCTTTTGGTTATTGTGTTCAATGACAGACTTCTCCAACATGAGAGTGACCAATTCTTTGGTCTCTGTCGGCATCTACCATCTTTTTTATCATGGCTACTTGATAAACCAAATGTTTTAGCTTTATAAGGATGGTACAGCATATAGCCTCTAGGATCTGCAAATATACCCAACACTTGCCTGAAAATCAAAAGGATGACACTTTCATGTAACAGTTTTAGCTTACGGTGTAGTAGCACCTAGTGAATGTTACTTAGAATTCTCAGATTCTTCCGGTAGCTATTACAGCATAATTACATTAAAAGTAGAAAGAACATTGTACTAAGTTTTATACTCTCTGTTATGTTTTCATTTTTTTTCATTTCATAATTCTTATTCCCGCAGACATCTCACCAACAACTTACAATATTCTGTGCTACTGATTATAAAATTTGCTGCTTTCTCACTTTCCAATGCGGGTCACATCCTGAGAATGGACCACCACTCAAAAACATATTGCACAGACTTGCAAATGGTTGATAGCCTCACCTGGTGTGTCAGTAATATTGATGTTTGTATCTTTCCAGTTGACATATGTTGATGCAGACTAAAAAGACATATATACAAAGAGTTGAATCTTCTTGAAATATATAAAGAATTTTATTTCATCATGCAGATAATATTGAAACACCATAATTTCTGTTGTATTTACCACATACCATCTTCACTATGCCCTGTGAACATACAGCAAAAAATGTAGCAATGTTGTTATGGTAACCATGTATACAATCTCCAAATTATATATTCCTATAGCAAATCAAATGAGGTTGAATTCGTGGGAGTTGTAAAAAGATTAAAGACGGATCTCTCTAGCCACTAACCAGGCTCCAATTCAACTGTGGTTTGTTACATACGGTGTATATGAATATCTTAAATTTGAAGTCACAATTATGAGCACTATTTAAGCAGCAGCAAAATAATGCCTGAAAAAATTCACGCCTGTACATTTGAACCCATGACCTCTGCAATACAAGTGCACTGCTCTACCAACTGAACTAACAAGCCAACTGGGAGCTGGTCATTTTGTTGGTTTGTAATAAACCCATAAAGTGATGAGTAAATGACTGTGAATATATATTCATGAATGTCATACATTTGAACTGTAGTTTATTAAATAAATCATAATATTGTTACTTAATACCAACCTGTATGGTTATTCCTCGCTGTCGTTCCAGATCCATGGAATCCATAGTGGCTCCTACATTGTCCTTACCTCGCACCTGGTTAGAAAATAAGGATGAATACCAAACAACCAAATCTAATGCATGGATATATCAACACATCTTTCTTGGGCGAAGAATTTGTTTCTCATCAATAAAGTATTAAAAAAAACCTGAGATTTACTGTATTAATGCTTTGGAGCTACAGTGAGATTATGTATCTTGTATCTTCACATTTGTTTGTCATAAGAAGTCTGATCATACTGGTGAGAGTGGTTCCCTGAAGGACTGTTGTTGGTAGAAGTGACTCAAGTTTTAACAATACCAGTGTGTTACAATATAATCTAACAAACAGAAAGAATGCTATACACCTTAAGACTTCACTACTTTATTACACAACTTTTAATATTTTTGATGCAGAGCAAGTCCAACAGGAAATACAGTAATTATCCTCAATAAACTTACTTAAGCCCACAACATTCTATGTCTTGCCTCACCACTGACACAAACTCACAGTTTTCTCCAAAGTTCCTTGAATTAAACAATCTTCACAATAGCCCTCTCACTCTGTGTAAAGCTTTCCAAGCAGTCATTCACTTCTGACAACAACAACTACTACTACACAACTGAGTCCTTATAGACATTTACAAAGTATTCTAGAACATTCCAGAAACTTACAACACGACTATCTCAGTGGACTGGTATTACATCATGACTGCATGACCTAATGAAATGTTCTGTTATGTTCCATGGAATGCTTCTCAGCATGACAAAACATTCTTACCAGAAAATGTCTAGATACTTATTTCTACAGTCACTATCCATAACAAGTGGAAGTCATAAAGTCATAATCATTTGAAACAAGAGGTGACTTCCACCAAGGTTGTCAAATCATCAGTCTTTACTGCCGACAGCAGTCCTTTCCAGGCCTACTCTAACCCGGACAATCAGACAACACAATCAAATATTATTACTGCAAGTTGTCAAACCTTTGCTATTTAGAAATAATTGATTGCAGAAGCTGTGGTTTAAACTGTACATCAACTTGATATTAACAAAGTCTTTGTTTCAGAGATATTATCAGAACTCTCTTCAACCTATGGAAGTTTGACACCTCTTGAACTTTTAGTAAATTTCAATCCACAACACATGTTGAGACAGGGCAAAAATCACTATTTGTATAATCACTCAAAACCCATGGGAAATTGGCTTTGAACTGTTACAATGTGTATCAAAATCCATTAGTGAAAAAATTTTTTTTGGTCTTGTCAGAACTCCTATCAACCTACAGAAGTTTGATATCACTTAAACTTCAAGTAAATTTTGATCCATAACACACACTTAGGAAAAAGAACTGCAGTAAAGATTTCAACAGGAAACCACAGGGCAAAAATCATTATTTGTATAATCATGCAAAACCCATGGAAATTACACTTTGAACTGTTAAAACAAACATCAAAGTCAATTAGTGAAAGATTTTTTTTCCTCTAGTCATGAGCATGGCACTAAAAAAAAATTTAGAATCCTTGTGAGGAATAGAATCTCAGACCTTCAGATTCACCACTTTGATGATCTACTACTGAGTCACAGAGACTTTGCTGTGAGCTCAATTGTTACAAGGTCCACATGTGAGATGCATCCTGCAAAGTAGGATTGGTAATGTTGAAAGCATTTCTAAAGGCAAATCAAAGTCCATTGTTCTCACCTCATGCATTTGACTGATTCTTCCAGTATAAAACAAAAGTCTCTCTGTGAGTGTGGTTTTTCCAGAGTCAATATGGGCAGATATACCAATATTTCTGATTTTTGACACATCCTTCTGTCAAAAAAAGGAGACAATGTTACATGTATGCCCAATGTACACAGCTATGCCCAATTCACAAATTGAAAGTGGTTTAGCATGATCTGTAGTCTTATCGACAATGATATTCATTATCACAGAGGTCAAAATTTGCTACAGACTCATGCGGCCCAGCAAGGTGAATCAGCAAAAACTTTTGAGCAATGTGATGATGAACATCATTGTATAGAGACCATGCTAAACCCCTGTCAATTCCTTTTTTACCACAATAACGATGTCAAACAAAATGATTCTTTCAGTGATAAAGGTATTGCATGACCAGTTGATGCAAGCAGCGCTGCTCGTGCTCTTATCAACAACAGCAAATTGGCCAATCAAATTGCAACATTACTGCTGATCGTAGAAAAGAAATGTTTCGAAAATACGCAAGGCATCTAGTAATAAAAAATTCCCCAATTTCAAGGGCCTGTATTCATGAATGAACACTGAGGAAAAAATTTAAGTTTTCACTAATTAATGTTAGTAGTAGCTGGAAATAGGGTAAAGTAACAGGAGAATATCATTCATTGGGAATAAAAGACAAGGCTGTGTTTAAATGCTAGGTAGTCAAATATTTTCACAGAATTTCTACTGAAAGATTATACTTTAGAGTATCAAATATTAGTTTATAAATATTAATTAAGTAATTCCAAAAATTAATTTGGATTTTTACTACAGAACACAAATTATCAGAGCAGATGTATACTATAAAATTGGAAGGTTTTCAACAACTCTGAAACATTTCTCACCTAGCGATTTCATAGGATCTAAGTAAATGCTTAAAAAATTTGTCCTCTTAAACACCACAATAATTTTTGGAGTTGCTTGGCATTTCTAAACAATCAGTAGGTTTGCAAGAGAAATTTTGGGGGAAAATCAACATTACTTTACTTTAGTAATAAGAACTTGGTGTTTGATCAAGATACCAGATAAGTTTGAGTATTCTCATTAACTGTTTGCTGGAGAATGGATGGATATTATTGGGAGAAGTGACATGTTAATCACTTCTGGGTGTCAGAGGGTTAATGAACAGCCTGTGAAAGTTACCATTGACTGTTGAACTCAAAGGAACATTTTCACCGACAGTTTTGAAAGACTGTTCCTTGTAAAACAATAAATAAAATATATACATTTTTAACCCCGGTGAAAATGAAGTCAAAAACTGTCAATCTCCGTGAGAAAGTTGAGCACTAACCGTTGCTTCAGAGGCAAAAAATCGAGCCTTCACCTACGAAATAAAAGCATTCGTTCGTAAGATTCAGGATTAATTACTAACCAAAGGAAACAAATACGAGCAACTTGTACTCACTAATATCATATTGAACTCAATCTGGATTCATTATTTCCCATATTAATCAAAATACGAAAATAATCAGTTTAAAATCATATTACTGTTTTGATTTTTTATTCTCTCGTTCTATAACTTCTATAACTTTCTGATTTTAACAAATCACAACTGATACGATAGTCCTAACTGTTTGAGAAAGATGTACGATTATGTAAGCTTTTCACTTCTTCGTGGCTGAGGATTCTCGTTTAGTAAAAATTATCAAAAACTTAAATTATGGTCTAAACACCAAGGTTGCAAATCTTACATTACGAGAAAGAAGACGAAGTCCAGATCGCTGGATCAACAGTGTCGCTAAACCCATTTTTCGAGCTAAAACATCATAGTCCGTATATCTCAGGAAATCTTTCAAAGTAATTTCTACCAGGCGCACGTGAAAGGAGTTTGCGCATGACCAGATAATGACTACTGCTGTTGACCAGTTTTGTGGAAAAAAAAGGAAGCCGGCTCCAAACACATACCACGTGCCATATCAAAATGTACATTTTAAAATTTTTACTAGAAACTTCAATTTTTATTTATTAGCGTTCCCAAGAGTAACCCTCCCTTCATTGGCTTTATGATACGACTTCTATGATACGACTTTTAAGATACGACTTTACGCGCCGCCATTTTTAAAAACAGCTGAGTAACCAGGCCCAATACCCGTGGAGTGCGCGGTTCAATTTGGTTCTTGTAAAAAACAGAAAACCATAATTTGAATCAAGAATAGTTTTACTTGTGACTACGTCTCCTACGTGTAAATACAGATCACCAAAAGATAGATCAAAGTGACACTATGATGAACTCGTGGATATACTGCACAGAATACATGGTACCGGATTTAACTAAAAGCCAATGACCCTGAAATTTCAAGAAATATAATTGAACAGTTACTCCCACAAGAGTCGCAACAAATTCATCAGCCATATTCAATTTAATAAATCAACTATCTTGGTCTGTACTCTTATCTACAACGATATTCGTCATCACAGTGGTCAAAATCTTGTGGACTTACTTGGCTGCGCCTCGTGAGTTCGCAACAAAGTTTGAGCAAAGTGATAACAAGATCTAACAAATATCGTTGTCGATTAGAGGACTGACCACGCCAAACCACTTTCGACATATTTGTTACCACAATATTGACGTTGAATAAAACGATTCTTCCAGTGCGTGACTAGAGTTCGTGACTGTGCTCTTATCGACAACGGCATTCCTGCAAGTTGCGGTAAAATTTATTATAGGACCAGTCCGGCCCTGCGTGCGTAATCGTAAGGCCGAAAAACCATGGAGAAAGACGACGTGAAAAAGCGGTTCGGCCCTTGTGTACTTGTAAGACTTGATTGCAAAAAGGGAACGAAACATTGTTCGCTGTTGTTGCGAAAAAATGAGTGGCAACAGTAGACAAAAATGAGCGATAATTTAAGTCACGTCTTCCGATAAATTGTGAGTTTCTTGCTCAACCAGTGTTAAACGGTAACCCCAATTGAGGTCTCTACAAGTAATTCGTCTGGAACTTAACCTAACAAAGCTGGACAACTTAAACGAGGATGACTCATTTTTATAATGACTGATACAGTGTAATGGCGGACAGTTAAAACAAAAATTTGTTACTTACTGAAAATAAGAAAAAGAAAACTGTCTTTTCTTTGCAGTACTCAGGGGGGCGTAATTTCATCAAAATGAAATCATAATCAGGTGAACGGGAAGATGTTTTCCTCTTTGTCCTTACCTCGAGAAGCTTCAACTAAACGTTCCTGTAAGATAGATTCCTTTGACGCATGGTAACCTCACAGAAGATTACCCTCCCAACCCTTCCCCGACCCCAAGTCTTACTTGTTACAACTCTTGAGTAGTCTACACCCACAAACCAAGTACAGTAAACAATGTCGCCAATAAAAAAAACCTTTATTACAAAATCTTTGCGGTTTTATTTACATTGAGCGTAGCATGTCACTCCAATGATTAAAAGTACTTTGCCTACCTGGTATCTTTGACCCAAATTAAGATTTCACTTGGAACTACTGATTTCATTTAAATATAAAAATCTACTAAAAAGTAATGAAACTATTAAAGTTAATGAAACTAATGAAAAGACAGCTTTAAAGCTGGTCGGTGTCTCCGAATTATAGCTTCAAGACTAGCTGCCATCTCATCATCATAAACTGACAGAGGAAGTTCTAGTGTGGTTAGCTTACAGCTCGGATGCTGTAAAGCTTCACATAGACTGGCAACACCGATATCAGTGATGTCAGTATCCTCCAGATCTAGTGTGGTTAGCTTACAGCTCGGATGCTGCAAAGCTTCACATAGACTGGCAACACCGATATTAGTGATCTCACAATGTTGCATACGTAGAGTGGTTAGCGTACAGTTTAGATGCTGTAAAGCTTTACATAGACAGGCAACACTGGTATCACTGATCACCGTGTGAATTACAAAACGCTCGGGAATTCTCCCTCAAGAACTGTTTAGCGAATTCTTTGTTTCGATACTCATTAAGACACCTCATTCTAAGATAAGGAGGCATAAAGGGTGAATCTATCAATTTTTCCATCATTTCCTCGTTTGCGTCACGTGAGAAAAGGCCAGCCATGAATTGGTAAACCATTTCAGAGCATTTTGCATCGGGAACAGGATTTTCCCTTACAAACCAACGAGCGGCCAAGAATTCTTGGACGGTCAGATGTGTGAAGCTAAAGTGCTTCGTGGTTGTAATCAATTCGGTTCTGAAAGGCTGACTACAGTAAAGAAGACCGCTACCTTTCAGTTTGTTGACTTCTTCCAGTTCAAAATCGCGCTCCATCTCGCTTTCATCAAAAGTTGGCTTTCTTTCAACCAGCAGTTTAGCCGCTAATTTTGATAATTTCTCCAAAGTGTTCTTGATGACAGGAGGGGGCTTGAACTTCTCAGGAATTTCTTTTTGTCTGTATTCTGACTCGGCGCAGTGCTTGAGTTAAAAAATATCAACAAGTTTGGTATAAATGTCGGTTATTGAGACAGGAAGGTCATCAGAATTTTCTGATTCGGTTAGGGTATACTCCATAACATAACAGAGCATAGGAATATGAGCAAAACTGACAAGATTCTCATTGTTCATGACATGTTTAAGTACAGCGTTCTTCATATTTTCGTTTTTCTTGAAGTATTTCTTTATGTACTCTTTGACTTGTTCTGCCGAAAAACCAGCAATTTCCACACACCGTTTATAACGGATTCCTCCCATCTTGTCCGATTCATCAGGTCGCGAGGTAATCTGATGACGATAGCCCCTTGCAGGATTTTTCCATTGATGAGTTTAGAACACAGTGCGGCTAACGTCATTGGGATGCCGTCCTTCTGAGTTTCCAGCGATACTGGTTTTCTGAGAATACTCATCATAGCCGTCGAGAATTATCATTACTTCCTTGGAATGCCTTACAATGTACTCAAATGTTGATTCGTTAATGTTACATTTGTCATTCAGTACCGACGAAAAATTTAAGATTTCTCTTAAAGTCAAATGCTTATTCTTGAGCAAATTCAACTGACGGAAAGTAAGCAAATACACAAATTTCAAATTGGAGATTTCAGTGCTTTCTAGTGCTTGAAGCAATTTGTTGTTAGCCCAATCGCGAATCACCTTTTGGCAAAACAGGGATTTCCCAATCCCTGCTTTTCCAACGACAAGAATAGAATTAGCACTTTCCTGATCATCAATCATGCCAAGAAATATTTCACTGCAGTGCTTGACTGGAGTACCACTAATTTTCCCGTAGTACTCAAGCTCTTTACTCCTTGAATAATATGTCTCGTCATTCCTAATCAGGGCTTTTCTTCCATGTTGTATGAGAAGATTAGTGAACATTTCGTCCGTTTTCGCGTTGGAAATCGTGCGAGAGGCAAGCAGTTTGGGTTAGAACTCCGTATGGTACATAATTAAAGACTTTAAAGCTGAAGTGTAGGTACTTACGGCTGAAATAAAAAAAGGAACATACTTAATAAATAATATGAACACGAGGATAGCAGTTTAAGTACTATCACTCTTGCTCCACGGGGTTTAACTGTTTTGAGGGCAGGTCAATCAACACACAAGCAATTAAGGCAAAGATTTTAGGCTATATTGGTATTACTCTTATTGATGAAAAAAGTATAACAAACTAAAGGCACATTAATACCACACATAGTTCTAACCCTTAGAAGCTTAGTCTTGAATGTAAATTTCAAAGTCTAGTGTCTGACAGAGAAACGATTCCAGTATTGGATATCAGAGCCCCAACTCACGGACCCTATAATGGTTAAAAATCGGTGGTGGCGTCAGATCCACTTGTCTGACACCCAAATTCTTGAAACAACAGGATCACATATCACCATCCAACATGGAGCAACTAACAATTACCGTTCCAGATATAGGTCTTGGCCTACTGTGGTTTCAGAAAAAACACAAAATTTCTGTGTTTTCTGAACAAAAATTGTGACCCCCCTCTATATAAAAATCCTGGATCCACCCTTTAAAATCGTCTTTACTTGTCAACATTTAATAACAGTAGTTCAAATAGTCGCAAATAAGTTCACTGTTTATCGTTACCATTCACATGTTCACTATTATTACATTTATTATTTCACTATTAAGTATTACACTCATCAAAACATGTAGGACTCACCTCGAGAAGGCAATTCATTGGCACCTAAATTAAATAATAAACAAAAAGAAGTGTTGTCTCTTTAAACCAATTTACTTAAGAAATTTACTTACAATCTGATTCATTCGTCTCTACTACTATTATGTCAGGTTCCAAAAATGGGTAAAAAACAACAACAACAACAACAACAGAAAAAAAACTGTAAATACATGTATATGTGCTGGCAGTTATCACTTCCCTGTGCATTCAATTAAGTATCAACATCAAAATACAGTTGCACACGCAGTACTGGATAATTCTCTGTTCTTAGTTTAAAACAATTTGATGTGTTGCTTAATTTGCCCAGGAACATATATCAAATCACTTCAAATCACTAAATGGCAGATGTCATTAGCCTCCGAATTTTCCATTTTCTGGTTGTGTTACATAAACCAAGCTAACTATAGAAAACAGGCATGTTCACCTGGCTCATGAAGTGAATTGTCATTCATCAGCATCACTTGATTTAACCACAAGTTTTTTCTGCCACCACCTTAAGAGGCCTTGTTAAACTTACTAATACATAAACTTAAAATAAGGGTACCTTAATTTTCTATTTGTGAACTGTTACTGAATAAATGATCTTGATTTGTAATCCATACAAGAATATGCTGTGGGAACTTAGATCTAAGTCAGACTTATCCTTGTAAAAAGACAAGATTGAGACAGGAAGCATTATACCTGCATTAAAGTAAGGCCAATCTTGGAATATGACTGGATCATTCAAAATGTTGGCCACAACAGATGCTGCCATCAGACAGGCAATTTGTTTCCATTTTTTACTTGAAGACTGCGTTTCATCTACAAAGTCTTTAATGCCCTTGACTACCACCCATTCTGTCTTAAAATCATGGGCTGCAGCATACACTCCTTAAACAAAAAAAAACACTCATGTCTGTTAACTATATTGCTAATTTTGGTAGAATCCTTAAAATAATTGTTCGATGAAAGCTTAAAAAGATTCACACTCTAGCTGTTTGTAAAAATGCACATCCCAGAAAGACATTAGTTAGTAACAAAATCTAATTTTTTTCAATCAGTACTTTAAAAAAAATTGTACACCTTGTTTCATAAGTAACTTTCAACATTTCACTCCTAAGATCTCTTTGGTAATTCTCTTTAGTGTCTGTCGTACAATTCCTATGATGTTACAGGTGGCGTAGTTGGGAGAATTTGGTTTTGGATCATCCAATAATTTCCTAATTGACATTTTCTTTTTCTTTTCCCATTACTTACAGTAATATAGTTGTATCTACTTGATATCATATTGATACTGTAAGGAGAAATTCTGTCTTGGTCACTCATGGGAGTTTCAGGGTTAACAGGGACTGATAGTTATTCCTCAACTCTCAAACTATTCAACAAAATACTTTCTACATTTTTCAGATGACAAATTTAAGACAATTCATGACATCCTGATGGAGCACATTCAATTTAGAAGACAGAAGAAGTCTCAGTCACCTCCACCTGCTAAACAATATTCAACCCCAGTCAAACACAAAACTACTATTATTATGCAAGATATAATTTCCACAAATTTCGCATGCTATAATTATGGTATATGCTATTTCTTGGACCAGCAGAGACAATACCAGGGCAGTCTTTTTCAAAACTCTTGCTTCAAATGCTAAAGTCCTTGGCTCATCAATTATTTGAATTATTATGATTCTCACCTCCACCTTCCATTTCAACTGCAATTGCCTCAGGGTGTTTCCTAATCATATCTCTGTTTGCCTCCAAGATACTCAGAACCACTCCATCACAGTGCACTTTGGCATTATATTCATCAGCATTTTGTAAAGGTGCCTTCCACCCATCAGCCACATGTTTGATCAGCTTACCAATATCTCTACTAGGGGGAGTTTTGTGCGCAGCTGTTATCAGCTTTGCTGAAACAACCACATCTCCTAACTTGACCTTTTTGCTGTTCAATTGCAGGCACCAACAGAAAAAATAGCCTTGGGTCTCAGTAGCAAGATGGCATCTTTTGAAACAGACAAAGAACCCCCAGGAACACCAGGACCTTTGCAGCACCTCATCAATACAATTTTCATTTTCTTTCCTTGATCATCACCCATGCACCCAAAGTACACAGGGCCAGTACTGATGTGAGAACTCTTAAAGGGTTCCCTCAGGTAGGCAAAGCAACTTAAGAACTCACAGTCCTCCACTATTAATAAAAGAATATCAACAGGAAGTTCAACATTGTTCCAAGTAAAAGAGGTTTCAGGAAGATCACTCATCAATGGAAGTGTAACATTGAGCTCTGGTGGGCTTGCATTCTGTACTGATGTAGTTAAAATATAATCCCTTGGCATCATTGCTGTCTCTAAAAAAGAAGAATGTAGTATTTCTTTTTTTTTTGTTTGTTTCCATTCATTTATTAGAAGTTATTAGCAGATCCGAAACAAAAATCAAATGGCAATGAAGAAAAAGAAAAGAAAACTTGTTATGAATAACAATTAGGTCAAAGCATCCATGACCCTGCATAAAACATTTCAAGTCCACACTAACTGATTAAACAGTACAAAATTACACACTGTCAGACATACTTGAAGAAAAAAAAACACCTCTGAGTGCTACCCTTTTTTCTCTGAGTTTGCATGGTTGTGTCATTCACTGAGTTGCATCTTTCACTCAAATAATTAGGCTTTAAATCTATCACCTTCGGCACAGAATTATATTTTGACAACATGTATGAATTTTTTTGTAAACTTCGTTCATAACATCAAGGAAAAAAAAAAAACTTTACTTACATATACAGTATACCAATTTCCACACAGAAATTTTGGACGTAGTTTCTTTTATTTCATGACCCACTATATCTAACATTAATCACACAAAAGAGACAATTTAGTTAAAACTTAAAATTAACAAAAGTAAATCACACAAACCTTCCTTTCCTAAATTTTGTTCATATGTCTCAATGGAACCCTCCAGGTCATCTTCCTTCCTGGCCTTTTTTACCATTTCATCTTCATATGATTTATCTGTGACGCAGTCTTCATCCTTCAACCACTCTCTGAAAAGCTCCTGGTAGTCCTTCTCAATATCAGCATCCATGCAATCAGTTTTAAGATCATTGGTAACATCCTGATAGTGGGCCCCTCCAATACGCTGAAAGGTGTCTTTGATGCCATTCCAGTAGGAACTGAAAGTTGGATCATCAACGGAACCACTGGTAACATGACTGTAAACTCTGTCTCTGAGGATCTTGATGCGAGAGATGTCAGCTGCTGGAGTGGTGTCTGTTACCAAAGGAAGGTCATCTTGGCCAGAGGTAGGGAGAGTTAGACCAAAGATATTCCTCAGAAGTAATAGCAGCAGGGAGCTGTCAAAGTTCCCTGAGGAAATTGACCATTTGACAGCAGGATACAATTTGCACCACTGGGAGGTACACAGGACTCTCTTCTTTCGAAGTGTTTGTAATTTGGCACAGTTTGTGGGATTTGTCAGAACGTCAAAGATCTCCTTTAACACATGTGATCCAACTTCAACAAGAAGGCGACACAGCTGAGCATAGTTTGAGGTTCCTTTGGTAGAAGGATTCAATGGAGTGGCAAAGGCCATGAGGACATGTCTTCTGAAAAGAAATATACACACAAAAGTCATTATTTGAACTTCCCAGAGCCAAAATGTCATTCCACATACTTAACATTGAATTTATTGTCACCTGAAAAATTTATACAACAAGTGTGATGTGTCTTCCTTTTTAACCCTTCAACCCCTATTAGAGTGATTGGCTTCTAATTTCTCCTCACAGTATCACTCATGAATCAAATGTAGAGGTCACAAGAATAAAGGAAATGATCACCAATTTAAGAAGTTCCTGATCGTCAAACAAATTCTCCTTGTCAGTATCATAGGGAATGTAAAGAGAACAGTGTGGAGAATATGAATACCAATGTCTTAGGGTGTTAAGGGTTAAAAAGGCAGATGGGGCACTCAGGGGGAACACACACAATTCTGTGCATAAAACCCTCACAGTAATGTACAAATCTCAAGAAAATACACTGTTCTTCTAAAGACTCATTACATCTATTTAGATTTTCCACACAAAAAATATGCTACTGTTCATTTCAATTAGAATCTTTTTATCCATTTAAGATTATTTCTAATCCAAAAAAGTCTCTTGAGTGATCAAACTTATAAAACAGCTTTCATTTGTCAAAACAACAAAAGAGATTCTTTCTGGCTCTCAGCCATTTATACATGTCAACCACATATTTACCATGCAATTTGCAATACTTAATTCCAAGCAATTTTGGTTTTGTATTTATTGTTCTGTGAAGAGAAATAAATTACCATGGCCATGATGAAAAGAAGTTTCCATGTTTTTCCCCACAAGATTTGCCTCTAACATCCCTCAAAACTTCAGAAAAATTTTGAAGCACCCTGTGAGATCAGTTACTGTTCTTGGTAGCAAAAAAAGAGTCTGTACTCAAGCCTATTGGCCCCCTGTAGAAGGAGCTTGTCTTGGTTTCCTTAGCATAAAGCTAATACAATAATAACAACTCCCCCCTGGATGGGATGCCAGTCCATCACAAGGTCCCCCCCCAACCAGCATTTCATCAGGCTTCCCTAACAATTCACCAGTACACATTTATACTCCTGGGTGGGGAGAGGCATGGGGAGAGTAAAGTGTCTTGCCCAAGAACAAAACTCATTGACTCAGGCAGGTCTTGAACCCAGACCTCTGGACCCAGAGTCCTGAATACACTGACCATAGGCAACAATATGTCACCCACTGTTGTTAGGAAATGGCAATGTTCATCACTGGCAAAATATAGTATGGTGCTCTCCTAAGATCACACTCCTCTCTTATTAAATATAGGCCTAGGTCACACTAGAGCTTTTTTTGTTTGTTTAAGTAAAAAATCCGTCAACAAGTTGCATAAAATAAGTACAGCCCCCAATTTTAAGAACTTGCCAAATTTTTGCAGATCACCAAAATTCTCCGAAAAGCCATGTTGCTTTTTTTTTAACCATTTAGCTGTCATTATATGTAAGACAAGCATGTCTAGATAAAATTTAAGCTGGAAAATACACTGGTCTGCTAGTGTAATTTGGGGCATGTGATGGCAGGAAACAATACATGGTCCCAGTCTCAAAACCATTACTCTGCCAGACGCAGAGACCTCAACCAAGGACAGTTACAAAAGCAAGCTCTATTTGAGCAAAGTCTTTGCCTTCTATGTCTAAAATCTGATACTAGCTGCATAGAAGCCTGCTGATAGTGACTACCAACAATGTAAAAAAATTGCTATGTTGTTTTGCTCTGAAAGAAATGCAAGATTCCATTAAAACTTGAAAGCTGTGAAGATAATCATTTGACAACAATATATTCTTGCCCAGTAATTTGTTCAAGAATTTTTCTTTATCTTTTAATAGAAGGAGATGGGTTTGTGATTGATGTATGTGTCAATCAATGAAGTTTTGGTCACAGGATACCAGTTAGATGCGACTGCTGCCAAAAATTGGAAATTGCAAAAGTTTAGCAAATTTTTCACAAGCCACATTCACATGCTCTTAATACAATTACTAATTTGATGGTATATCCCCTTTGAAAATAAACTCAAAAAAATTACTTTTTTGGGCAAGCAATGTAGCATGGTGCAATAAGAAGAAAAGTGATACAAAGGTTTCCTTGTTGGTCTGCATGTACTCCATTTCAAAGACTGTAGGTATATTTGCTGACAACAAAGATTCAATCACTTGTCGTTTTCATAGTTTAAATAAAGAAACATCAATGTTTTGTTTCTGCATGGTTCCATGAAAGTTATCTCCTCGATAAATATTGTTTGTACTCAACTTTCATGCTCAAATGCTCAATGTTCAAAGCTTTCAAGTTGAAGTTAGCAGTAACAAACATCATCTGCTGTGAGGCAGCTTGATTTAGAGAGAATCCACATTAAACTTACGCGCAAGGGAAGATCAATAACATTTCTTTCACACGATGCATATTCAGTTTAACCTCGCAGGAATTGTAAAACTGTAACTACAATATTTGTGGATCGAATTCAAACTACGTTCTGAGTTATATAAATTTTCTATCGATGCTGGCATCCAAAGTCAGTTGTTCGTTACCCGTCAAAGCCTGAAAATTTTCCGAAAATTTGTCCGATGATAAGCATGTTTTTCGTACGCGTCTTTAGTTCCAAGAGACCAACTCTAACATGTTTAAATCCAGCCTAGCGAATCCAACCAAATTAAGCAATATGGAAACAAATAACGGATTCAACCTCAAAAACTGGCGAATGCAGACATATCAACTATTACAATTCCCAATGGATTCGAAAATATGAACCTGTTTTCCAACAAACGGGAAGTGCTGACCGAAGCACTAAGCTACGTAGTTTAACAATTTGGCACTTAAGACACTATTTCCTCGCTAGTAGTTTCAGGAATCGAGGTGAAAAGTATATGGTAAATCAATGACTCTACCTTGGCGAGAACCGTCTGCTTAACAACGTAAAGTAAGTCTCTCGAAGTAGAAATCAACCATGTTGGGCAGCCAAATCCGTGCACCTTGTATAGTGCTTCTCAAACTTCACTGATCATCTGCCTCTATTTCAGCCATTTTGAAAGTGTTAGTTTCCGGGGCTTCTTGTTTAATCTGACTTCCCGTCATTTCTATTTCCGCTTCCTCATCTTTTAGTTTTATTGAACATCTTTTAGTTATATAAGGTCACGCGTGAATGAGTCAGGAAAGCGATGTATGCTGCACAACATCGATGTATGACATCCAAAATCGATGTATTCCGGATGAAATTGATTTATTTAATTTTACATTAATGTATCCATGTTCGATATTTTGTCTGTAAAAGAACCTCATACCTAAGCGGGTCACCCCACCTATCTTGTAAACGTGATCAAAATAAAGTAAGAAATTATATGGACAGGTGACTTACCCCACCTAGGCGGGTTACCTCACCAACCAACTGTATTTGCGTTGTGGAAATTGATTCAGGATACCTTTAGCTGGGGAATCTGAGATCTGCAGATATAATCTACTTCAAAAACATGGACTACATATTCATAAGTGCATTTCTCTATATGTTGCATGAGAATAATTTCTCGGCAGGGTTAGAAAGTGGTCTACTACGGTAATCCATGAATCAGTGTCTGAGATGGAATATGTTGCATTATTTCTCAGATTTCTTCGACAATCTTTTCAAATAGAATTCCAACCTAGAGTTAATTTGAAAATGTATCTAAACAGCTGGGCTACAAAACATGCTATTTTCATTACAGTGACATTAGTAGAAATCTATAAAAGCAACCGAGCAAAACACCGAATGTATACACGAGGTTCAGGCACAAGCAAGTATTTTCTTGCGACAGCTACATGTTTCGAACATGTTATGTGTACGAAGATTTTATTTAGCTCACACTCACGTATTTACAACATTTATAGTTACCTGTAATTTGCTCTAAAATTATGCCAGTGGGAGAGATTATAAATTAAAGAACAATATAAGCGACGGGCCAATTTCAGCCAAAAACACGTCGACAGAGTTGGTATCTTTATCAAACAGCGATTTGTTTATTTAGCACTCGAGAAAAATAAACTCAAAAACTTTACCTAAAACGGTGGTTTGTTCCCTCAACAATAAAGGTCGGGTAATTTTTAAGTTAAAATTGATAGATTTAAATGAATCAAAACAGGAGTAGAGACCAAACACTTCGAGTTTTGTCCCAATAGCGTGTGATTTGCAGTAGGAATACAGCAAAGAAAATAGCCGAACTCCGTGAAAATGCACGCTGTATATTTTGGTCTGGCGCGCTCGCTTTTCACGGGCCAAAAATAATGTTTTTACATGATAAACATGAAGAATTTCTCGTTGAAAAGAGCTCTTTTATTTTATGTACATTCGTATACCCCCGATGTTATGGTCGTCTGAAATATGGCAAAATTCAGCGTACAAACGGAATACAAAATATAATGTACTTTACGCGGGTGGTTACAAACGAAAGAAAGTTTAGTTGGAGAGGAAATATAGTTGGAGAGCTATTCCAAGGGATGAAAAAAATGAATCCAAGATAATTTTTCGTTGTCTGTACGAGCGTTGTGAAAATGCACTGAAAGCCCGATATAAATTATGCAAATTAGGTACGTTTTGGCCGATTTCGAATTTTCGTATTTTTTGCCAAAATAAAAACTCGCTGGAACTTTTGAATATTCTTTTTGAAAACAATTCACCAAAAGGGTCTTTTGGAGCAAATAAAAAAAGTTGAATTTTTGCTTGTGTCGCCGGATTCTTGAAAATTACTGACTTCTCTTAAGTTCTAGGCTTCTTCATGTACTATAGTGTATACGTGCGCACAAACTGGTCTATTTCGCTGATTGAGATTGGTACACTGAAAGATGTCGGTCCTCAACAAATCACACAGAAATAAATCATGTTTAACTGTACACCAAACTGCTCATCGAGAGGGTCAAAATGCATTTACAACTGTCCTGTTCTATTTTACAATCGATCAATTTTTTATGAGCATTATATGAGTCGGTTTACGTTATATTCGATGAACACCCTCGAGTAACTGCCGTATTTTAAAGCAAAAATTTTGATAAACGCCGCCCCCGAATAAATACCAAATCATTACGCGACTCTTATTCGAATAATAGACTCAAAAAAGCAGACCGATGACTACTGAGGGCCTTTTTTCAAGGAGATGGGGAGCCCCAGATAGGTGAAGTAACCCGCCTAGCTGGGTAACCCGCCTGTCCATATAATCTATTATTTCATCTTGATCACGTTTACATGATAGGTGGGGCGACCCGTCTAGGCGGGTTGCCCAGTCTACTGGGTAGGGTAACCCTGTCAGTAAGGGGGCAACATTGCCATGTAAACGTCTCAAGGTCGGTTAACCCGCCCACGCGGGGCGCCGTTCATGTTACAAAAGGATCAAATAAGGAAAACAACAGCGAAACACGAGTGTGTTAAGACTTTGTACATTTCTTGGTCTTCCCATGCAGAACTAAAACGTTAAAACATCAATTTTTACATCCACTTAGCAATAAAACCTCGACAGCGATTTAGTCACGTTTTTACTTTTAACTCAACACTACATTCACACGTTATGCCTAAGTGAAGACGTTGTACTGTCAGAAACGGTTAACGCATCGAGCTATCGGCCAAAATCTTAGAGGAAAATTAATTAGGTTTTTTCTGCAACGTTTTTACGACACGTCCTAGTGACATCTTAAACTCCTTAATTGCGAGTGTGATAAAAATTTCGAGAAACTTCATCCTGGCATCCCGGGGTTGTAAGATTGTATGTAAACGCTGGCTATTTTTAGCTCACGGTTAGGCGGGTCACCTCACCTACCTGGGGTCCCCCACATTCATGTAAACAGGCCGAAAAGTACCATTTTGGAGTGATTTCTTGATTCTTGAGCAGAGCTACCCACAGAGGTAATAAAAAAAAACTCTCTCGAGCTGCATGTTGAACCTTCCCGTGGACGACATGATTCACTCCCCCCAAGGAACGACAGCCTTGTGGCAGTGCACGATTATTGCTTCTATCGCAGTTGCAAGTTCTGTGTAAGCAAGGCACAAATCCCTTTGAAAGTACCGGTTCTGATTTTGAGAGAGCACATCCGTCATTATATCTTTTGGATTCGGATCATGAAGAGGACAGAGACATTGAAATTGGGTGAAGTATGTTCACTTTATTTCACATTAAGTATTGCAGTAGTATTAACACGCAGATTGTGAAATTGAGGACAAGCACTAGAACGTGTTTTTGTTTTTTAAAATGGTCAGTTACCATACTATTGTTTGCAAAAAGTAAATTGAATTTTAAATAAACGCCGCCCTCGAATAAACATCGCACTTGAATCACGAAAATTTTAATAAACGCCGGCGGCGTTTAATCGAATAAACATGATAAGTGAAAACACTTTATTAGCTCTATATTTAAGAGAGCTCCTTAGTAAGAAATTTTTATAAGAGTTGTTTACAGTCTGTTGGACCAAGTTCTATCCAGCAATCTTTCGATGAAAGAATTTATAATTGGTGCCAATCCTGATCTTCCTGCAGCCAGCTAATTTCCCCAAGGTCTTGAAACAGGTAGGAAATCGACAATCATCCCTTCATATCTGGGGCTCTTCTGACTCGTCATTAAGTACTAGGCCTTTGCGGAAGTAGGCATCCGCCGGCACACATTACCATTTTAGAGTTATCCACAACAACTTTGTTTACCTCGTCCCTATTGTGTCCCCACCTCCCCCTATTGTCAATTCCCCCCACCCCACAAAACTCCCGTTCAGGAAGCTTTCAGTGATCAAATTTCATTGAATGGCTCTGCAGCTCGCAACAGAAATAAAAAAACAATGCCTATGAATGTTTTTTGTCTTGGTTTTTAATGAAAGAGAGACGCTCGAAACTTTGAAGTAATGAAAATCAAAGGGCTCTTGGAACCAGCTCATTCATGTTATGGCTTAGCTTTGAATTGATTTCTTGGACTTGCTGAATATAGGTGCAGATGAATTCGGTTTATGTGAACTTTCAAGACTTTTGGAATAAATTTTCTTTTATTTTTGGGCAGTTGTGTGATAAGAAAACTTGTGCATTCGTAGTGATGGGGATCGGAAAAAAGTTTGTGTGGGCTGGAGGTGGGATGGGCAGAGGTCATTAGGCAGACTACGCCCTCAGTTGGCTGCAATATATCTCATAACGCTGACTGCCGCAATAATTATCTATTAAATATTCCTTGCCCGTTTCTTGATGTCTTTTGTTTTAATCAAAGCGGCCATTGCATTTGATTTTTAACAAAGCGGACACAATCGTTCCTAATAGAATTTCAAGTCTTCATCTAATCTGATTTTCACATATTAATATTTGCGTAGTCACCAAACCAACGAGAGATAAAACCACCAAAAAAGTTGACAAATGGCCAGTCACGAGGGCAACGCTTGGCTTTTCCCTATAAAAATTCTCCGGTTTCTCATGAAAACCAATGACAATATAAGACACTAAGGGAAAATCAGTATGTGTACACTTCTGAACGTTGAAAATATATCAAGTCGAAAGAAAAGTTCTGGTCTTGGTTCGCATTTTTGTCAGCAAAATGAACACATATCGGTTAAAAAGATGAATTTCTCGAATATTGCGCAGGTTAAATATTCAATAGTGGCATCCATTTACATCCACATCTACTTTTAGTAAGTTGGTAAATTCTGTACAGACATCACGCCAACCAGCTCGCGCGGAAAATGAGAATACTAAACGAGGCTTGAAAAAAATTAAGAACGATTGTGATCAAGAGACAGGCAAGGAATATTCCACAATAGTGCAAATAATCGCGAAAGATGATCGCGGAAAAGCGCTTGCGTGACGCTCGGTAAGTTGTAAGATGCCATGTTATCACGTATCAGACGAAAAAACAGTACAAATTCTCAGTCTGCATTTTGTACCCGGTCCGCGGTCCGTAGTCTGTATTTTGCACAGAGTACGAAGCCATCCAAGCGCTTGATACGGCTGGACACGGTCCTCAAATAACTCCATATTCCTCTTTGAAATATACTAATTTTTCATTGGAAAATATTCTACCTTCATTTACAATCCTCAAGCGCTTCTAAAAAGTGAAAAAATGCCAACGCTGTCCGTTTCGCTGGCCTTGTACACAGAGTACGAAGAGATCCAAGCGTGACACTAAGAAAATTTTCACCAGACACTACCGGACAGTCTGATATTTTTCCATATTTGTCTTTGGAAAATACCAGTTTCTATTGGAAGTATCTTGTCTTCATTTAGAATCCTCAAGCGCTTCTAAAACGTGAAAAAATTTGAATATTGTCCTTTTCACCGACTCTTCATAGAGTACGAAGAGCTCCAAGCGTGTTCAGGGTGGCTCTTGAGAAAGACGATTTTAGAAGGTTTTTAGTGATCTGGGAATTCCGTGTTACAGGAAATTGGGTCGCGTCAAGGTTGAAAGGCGTTGCATCAAGGTTGAAAATGGGCCTTTAACTTGTAACTGTAGGATAAAAAGAGGCTACGAAAACAACAGTGAAATAAACAAATTCTCCCAGAGTACCATTCTTTTTTATTATGATAGATTAAGTATGCATCATTGCAAGAAGATTTCTTATACAGATTGCAGGAAAATGCGTTTCTGGGAGACTTATCTTTTAAAAAATTTCCCGGGGGAGCATGCCCCCGGACCCCCCTGGAGGTTCGGGCCTTCGGCCCTCAATTTTTCAAGGGAACCTGCCTACTTTAAAGGCAGTGCCCTTTTACTTCAAGGTTGTTTAAGTTAGCGTCTTGTTCACTTTGATTGCCTCAGCAATACATGTAGCACCCGCAGCACTAATACGATTCGCAGACAAATACAAATTGGTTAGCGTCTTGTTCACTTTGATTGCCTCAGCAATACATGTAGCACCCGCAGCACTAATACGATTCGCAGACAAATACAAATTGGTTAGCGTCTTGTTCACTTTGATTGCCTCAGCAATACATGTAGCACCCGCATCACTAATACCATTGAGAGACAAATCCAAATTGGTTAGCGTCTTGTTCACTTTGATTGCCTCAGCAATACATGTAGCACCCGCATCACTAATACGATTCCTAGACAAATACAAATTGGTTAGCGTCTTGTTCACTTTGATTGCCTCAGCAATACATGTAGCACCCACATCACTAATACCATTGTCTCGCAAATACAAATTGGTTAGCGTCTTGTTCACTTTGATTGCCTCAGCAATACATGTAGCACCCGCAGCACTAATACCATTACTTTGCAAATCCAAATTGGTTATCGCGTTGTTCACTTTGATTGCCTCAGCAATACATGTAGCACCCGCATCACTAATACGATTCGCAGACAAATACAAATTGGTTAGCGTCTTGTTCACTTTGATTGCCTCAGCAATACATGTAGCACCCGCAGCACTAATACCATTGTAAGACAAATTCAAATTGGTTAGCGTCTTGTTCACTTTGATTGCCTCAGCAATACATGTAGCACCCGCATCACTAATACCATTGAGAGACAAATCCAAATTGGTTAGCGTCTTGTTCACTTTGATTGCCTCAGCAATACATGTAGCACCCGCATCACTAATACGATTCCTAAACAAATACAAATTGGTTAGCGTCTTGTTCACTTTGATTGCCTCAGCAATACATGTAGCACCCGCAGCACTAATATCATTGAGAGACAAATCCAAATTGGTTGTCGCGTTGTTCACTTTGATTGTCTCAGCAATACATGTAGCACCCGCATCACTAATAACATTCCTAGACAAATTCAAATTGGTTAGCGTCTTGTTCACTTTGATTGCCTCAGCAATACATGTAGCACCCGCATCACTAATACCATTGAGAGACAAATCCAAATTGGTTAGCGTCTTGTTCACTTTGATTGCCTCAGCAATACATGTAGCACCCGCAGCACTAATACGATTCGCAGACAAATACAAATTGGTTAGCGTCTTGTTCACTTTGATTGCCTCAGCAATACATGTAGCACCCGCATCACTAATACCATTGTAAGACAAATTCAAATTGGTTAGCGTCTTGTTCACTTTGATTGCCTCAGCAATACATGTAGCACCCGCAGCACTAATATCATTACTTTGCAAATCCAAATTGGTTATCGCGTTGTTCACTTTGATTGCCTCAGCAATACATGTAGCACCCGCATCACTAATACCATTGTTTCGCAAATACAAATTGGTTAGCGTCTTGTTCACTTTGATTGCCTCAGCAATACATGTAGCACCCGCATCCCTAATACGATTACCTTGCAAATACAAATTGGTCAGATTCAAACCAGTTCCAAACGACTTCGATAAATGCGAGTGAAAATCACTTTTTTCTCTTTTGCATTCGTTGATGGCCTCCAATACAATTTTTGCACCACGGCCTTCATTTTTGTTGACTTCATTTGTTAAACTCTTTACAAGAGCCACAACCTGTTCATCGCATTTCATGGCCAAAATTCCACACGAAAACAAAAGTATTTGTTTAAGTTCAATGAAATACCTTGCGGAAACTAGTTCTTCAGGTTTCATTTCCTTGCTTTGAATCTGAGAACAAATGAAGAATGCTGCAAAGAATTCTTGAAAACTTTTATGTAAGAAGGCATAATGCAGTGTTTGTCTCAGTTTGCTGCCACCAGGCTGCACTGACAGAAATCCAAATTCAGTCAGGTCTTTTGCATGGTTTCTCAATTCACTTTCATTAAAATCCAACTTATCGTCAAGTAAACCATAAAACGCTACCTTTCCAAGGTGATTCAATTGCGGTTTGTAATGGTTTGTCAAGTCTCCGATCTTTTCTAGTAGTCCCTTCCTTTTTCTATATCTTCTCAAAACACATTCAACCATATCCAAGTACAGTTGAGCTCTGCTTTCGGGGAGTGTGCCCTCAAACTCTTCGCATAAAAGGCAAAGAAGTGCTGTGTTTAGAGGATTGGCCGCTAGTTCTCTCAGGTTTTTATCTCGCGACATCCGTTGCGAGAGCTTGGTGGCTAAATCCGTCCTTTCTTTAAAGTACTTGGTGACAAATCCTTTCACATGCTCTTCAGTAAATCCTTCGATCTGAAGCAGCGCGTCACAACATTTTCTCACCTCTTTTCCAGCTTCGTGTCTTGCTGTTGCAACTATGTGGCATTTGGGGAGCACTCTTCCTTCAATTAATTCGGAAAACATCGACAATTTACTGGACGGTAACTCATCGAATCCATCCAATATCAATAAAATGCTGGACTGATTTTCACGAATAAAATGAAAGAATTGTTGTTTGACTTCTTCATCGATGTCTCGGGGCAGAAGCTGATCATCAATAGCTTCCCGAACGTCAGAATGGATATCTCGACATTTCAGTAACAATACCACTTTAAATGCTGTTGAGCCGCAGCCCTGAGGTTCTTGCTGTTTTGTGGCCCAGTCGTAGGCGTACTTTTTACAATAGGTGGTTTTTCCCATACCAGGTTCTCCTTCAATCAACACTGTTCTCGGCGCTGAACACTCTTCATACGGGTCTAGTATTGACGACATGTCAACAAATACGTCAGTGATTTCTCCTCTCGTTTTCTTTCTTCTGACCACTTTGAGCCTTGTAAAAATTTTGCCAAGAAAAAACTGAAACTCTTCACACCATGGAAATGGTGAGAGCCATCCCTCGCGAGTCTTGTACAGCTGGCGAATTCCATCGATAAGCTCAGTTGGATCAAAAACACCTAGCAGTAGCAAAAGAAGTAAGAAATCTAATGAATGCGGCGTTGAAAATTGTGGTCCCTCTCTGGTATTCGGCACTGAATTTAAATATGCGAATGAGTACGATACCGTTGCCAAAGAAATTACTTGGACGATGCAAAAAGGTTTTAGTGTATGATTCAAGCTTACTGATTAAAAGCCATTTAGATCATGAATTCAGTTGAACCTACTCTGTTTGTTCGGCTTGAGCGGTGTCTGACAGCGAAACTCTATCGTAAAATAAATTGCTCGAGAGATAAATATTCATATTGGAGCCGTACTCTGAGCAAGGCTTTTTCGGGATAGAGCGAGACTACGAACTAATAAATGAAAACCAAACAACGCCTTTCTGCTTGCTTTGTCACGAGGTTTCGTCTAAAATGCTGCAGAAAACCGGAGGCTCGCCTGCGATGAAGTGGGAGGTTTTGCCCACAGTCTTTTCCTCAGGAAATGTAAAATAACCACATGTATCCTATTCTAACTCATTTACCTCAAGACACACATTAAGAATTTTTTAGCACGCACGATATTTGAATGCTTCTTATCTTTGGTAAATAAATAACCTGAGAGCTGCGGATTCGCAATTCAATCGTCCGTCGACCGAAAAAAGTAAAAACCAATGGTGGTCGGACGCAGTTCCGCTCTCCAGTGTTCTTGTCGCACGAATGACTGCTCGTACCTAATGGTTTCCTATTTCCGCGGGAGTTTCAAAATTAAACTTTTTGCGATTTTCAAAGATTCGCGCACTTTTGACGTTGCTGATGTATTTTTAACCTCTCTCTGCGTACTTTTTTTGCCAAATCGCAAATTTTTTTATCGGACAGTTTGCCTATCATACTCGCGATAAACAAATCGGACTTCCGCTGCGCGGTCGTCCGATTTTGTTATTACTCGTATGGTTACAGACCAAATTGGACTCCACTCAGTCCTATTACCATTACTTATTATGCACACAAAGAATCAAGTCTGACTTGCGTAGCGCGCACGAGATTTGAACTGCTCTTATACTATGAAAGATAAATCTGAGAGCAGCGAAGTCGTGATTCGATAGTTCGTCGAGCGAGAAAGTGAATGTTTCCCCCTCCAACTTTCTCGCTGCTATTCTCTCCCCTCAAATGTTCTTTTCGCTGTATGTTTGGCAAATCATGATCGGACAGAATAGAGAGGGACAGCACTTAGTTTCTGACTGCATGGCGAACGCCTCGCTTCCTTGGCTGAATGCATGCTCTTATCGTTAGTGCCTAGTGTAGTGCGTCTCTGGATAAATAGTTAGATATATCTTTGGCCAGTTTAAAGCAAGATAAAAGCAAACAGTGGCGATATCATAGTTGTAAGCAACCGCCTTCTATGCTTTAATATTGTTCACCTTTATGCAACCGTCGCCCCTACTCGTCCCCTGCACCATCGTCATTTGCACCGAACAAATCTTACCAGTATCACCCTCCCCTGAGAGAATTTGTCTTTCCTTCAGTCTTTCGAAGCGTTTAAATTTCCCGCTGGTATGATAATCGGAAACTTCGACAAATCCCTCATGTAATATATAAAAGTTCACAATGCAACCAGGTGGACAATCAGACATGGTTTGATGCTACTCTGGTTTACAGATTTTATGAATGTAACCGAAGAAGTTACAATTCATAGACCCAAAGTTTCGACACTCCTGTCTTGTGCCTTCATTAGGAATGACGGCGAATCAATGGTGATGGTTGGTTTCTCAGGCAATCAATGGGTCTCAAAGGAATTCCCGCTTTATGAATTTCAGGTAAGCCATAAAAACGTGGACATAAGCCGTCACTACTGTAGAAAATTTTGTATGTAGAGTCACTAATCTTCACTAATGATCACCACTAATTGACCTTACCACCAGCGCCTTTGTTTGGAAGCTTAGCATATTAACTCCGCCCACGCTCCTTTAAATCGTGACGATGGCGGCTTACTTCCTGACGCCTATTTACACCTCGTCAGAAGAAAGGCAGCTAATTAGTGATCATATAAAAGGACGTCTTGTTGCAGCGTGTAGATCACCCCTGATGAAGGCACTAGACAGGAGTGTCGAGACGTTGGGTCTATGAATTGTAACTTCTTCGGTTACATTCATTAAATCTGTAAGCCAGAGTAGCATCAAACCATGTCCAAATCCCTCATGTGTTCTTAAGCTGTTGCGCCATTGTTCAAAAATGGCCCTTTAGGATCATTTTTCTCTTGTATAACAAAGCCTATTGTTAAAAATGTTGAGCCACTTTTCTTGGTACGTTTATTTCATTTCAAACGATTCTATCAAAAGTAAAGTGAGAAGTCTTAAATAAAGGTACCTACCACTCTTTGTCTTAAATGTTCTGACATCTGGCTCACTGTCTCCTTGTTCGTTGACAGCGAACAGTTTGACTTCGTACTCTGTGTCATACTCAAGACCAGTAATCGTGTAGCGAGTTTCAACAATATTCCCTCGTTGAAAGTTTTCTGTGGATGTTGTCATGGGTTGTTTACTCCATTCCAGACGGTATTTAATGCTGTAATTACTGCTGTTGACCTCTGCTTCTGACCAGGTAACAATGAGATCCTTGTCAACTTCTGTTTCTGTATTTGTGATGGTTGGTTTCACAGGTAAACCTGTTCAAAATGATGCTTCTTTTAAACTTTGTCTCTAAAAGCTGTGAAATACTTATTCTAATTAAAACTAAACATATTGGTATAATAAGAAAGGTTAATAAAACATTGATGAACAACTCTTTTTAGTTTTAAAAATTAGTAACAAGTCTTATCAATGTAATTTACGGCCAAATCAAAGATGACGATAGTAAAAAAATTTGGGAAAATAATTAATTTTTCTCATATGAGAGCTGCGGCATGAGTATTAAACCTGTTTCTACAAAGTTTCACAATTCTTCCCCCTTAAAAGCAGTGTTACTCCTGTATTTAGAACCCAACAGTGTTTCTTTTAGCAGGTAATTTAGTGTTAACAGCTGGGTTGAAAACGTAAATTAGCCACCGTAAAGAGTAAAAAAGGTGACGTTTCGAGCGTTAGCCTTTCGTCAGAGCGATTATCTGACGAAGGGTTAACGCTCGTAACGTCATCTTTTTTACTCGTTACGGTGGCTAATTTACGTTTTCAACCCAGCTGTTAACACTAAATTACCTGCTATACTCTCCCACCGACGCAGCACCACGGTTTCTTTAGAAACTTACCCCTTTATTCATTAGTGTTTCTTTTGTTTTATTTCAAACAATTCTACCAAAAGTAAAGTGAGAAGTCTTAAATAAAGGTACATACCACTCTTTGTCTTAAATGTTCTGACATCTGCCTCACTTTCTCTTTGTCCGTTGACAGCAAACAGTTTCACTTCGTACTCGGTGTCATACTCAAGACCAGTTATCGTGTAGCGAGTTTCAACAATATCTCCTTTTTCAAAGACTTTTGTGGATCCTGTCATGAATTGTTTCCTACATTCCAGACGGTATTTAATGCTGCAATTACTACTGTTGACCTCAGCTTCTGACCAGGTAACAATGAGATCCTTGTCAACTTCTGTTTCTGTATTTGTGATGATTGATTTCTCAGGTAAACCTGTTCGAAATGATGCTTCTTTTAAACTTTGTCTCTAAAAACTGTGAAATACTTATTCTAACTTATACTAAACATATTGGTATAATATATTGGTAAAAGGTTAATAAAACATTCATGAACAACTCTTTCTAGCATTAAAAATTAATAACAAGTCTAATCAATGTAATTTACGAGCAAATCAAAGATGACGATAGTGAAAAAATATTGGGCAAATAATTATTTTTCCTCATATGAGAGCTGCAGCGTAAGTATTAACCTGTTTTTACAAAGTTTCACAATTATTCGCCTCATGAAAAGCAGTGTTACTCCTGTATTTAGGAGCCAACAACATAATAATGAAGTCCTCGTCAACTTCTGTTTCTCTATTTGTGATGGTTGGTTTCTCAGGTAAACCTGTTCAAAACGATGCTTCTCTTAAACTTTGTCTCTGATAAATGTGAAATATCTATTGTAACTAGCTAAAGCACGAATACATGTCAATTTAATCATTTCAAGACGTAATATGAATGCAACGGGTCTTAACATGTCAGATCAAAAACATGATAACCTCGAAATGTACGTTTTGAATAGTTTTGGTCTCATATAAGCATACATAGATGATCTTAAAGACTCGTTCTCTAGGCTGTCATTTTCGTGTACGTTTCGCACGCAGTCGATTTATACCCAGTTTGAGTCGTTCGTACCCGACCCAGTGGTTGATTCGTATTCGTCCCAAAATTAAGTGACCACCAATACCCACGAGATCTCAAAAAGATGTCACCCACGAATGAGCAAACTGATGGCGATTGTTGCATACGGAAAGTAAGGGGAGAGTCAAACGAGTATTACAGATACAATTTAAGTTCTGTGGTGCATACTTGTGACCCTCTTAACAACAAAAAGATTAGAGCCCACATTTCTCATTCCAGGCCTTAGACTGGGTGGTCGCGTCCAGCAGGATGCAGAGTCGGGTTTTTAACGTTGCAGTTCGTGAAAAGGTCAAATGGCGGCACTGCAGTTGTTCGGCGAGCGCATAAAGCTTCACTTTATTTCCATGAGTGAACGCAACTGCTTCTAAATTTCCTCCCATATTACGAATTTGACCATGTGAACCAAACAGTACCAATAAGACTCTCTCCCAAATAGGTTGTTTGGAATTATGAAGTGTAATAGACAAACAAACACCACCTCTTCTCCCTCACCCCTATAAATTTTTGTGGGTTGTCTTCTCTATGTTCACGTCAAATCTCTTTCTTTCGTTTAGCCATTAAATAATTGTAACCCTCAATAACATTTCTGCACCAGTGTTTTGGCTATGGTAATTTGCAAGCAGTTAAACTTTTAAATATTTACTTACCTGGCAGTAACATGTCATCACCGGTGTCTCCAATGAGCGCGTACAGAAAGTTTTTCCTGTTATAGCACAAGTGCAGGACTTCCCCTATACTAAGCACCATGACAATGGCACAAGCAGAGATAAAAGCTATAGTTTGGTCTGATTTCTCCTTGTGACGATGATCATTACATTGCAACGATATTTTTGTCTGGTTAAGAGGACTTGGCGTGGTTTGACTGTTGGTCTGCTCATGACACTTAAAAACGGAAGGTAAAGAAAGTGTGTGGTAACTGCAGACCAGCCCTAACATGACACCCAGGAATAATATTCGAAGGAATACATGGATGAAGTAGATGCGAAGAAATCTTTTTGCGTTTCTGTTATTTCTGTCTCCTGGTCTATTTCGAAGGGCCACAGGACCACAAATTGCAAAGCTGACCCCGCATAAACACAAAACACCGAGTGTTATGGCAACAAAATACTGAGGTATTAACCCATACGGCTCGGTAACTGTAGAAATGTAGCTGTCATAGCAACGTTGTTTGATAAAATCACTGGGTTTGGGATCGCAGTTGAAGTTCAATCTATCTCGGTCATGATACTTTCGTAAAGTGTCAAGAATGTAACTCAGCCATCCAACAGACAAAATAAACGAAACTCCTCCAAGAGCAGTTTGAAACTTGATAACCGGTTTCCAGCTATCAAACACCATTTCATAAAGTATCAGTACCTAACAAGAAGCATAATAGAAATAATTATTAATACAAATGCACCACATGACTTGATGACTTGCATAAGTTAAACCTGACTTAGGAAGAGACATTTAAAACTTATCTGAAATTTTTGTGAATACATCAGTATTCACAGACAATTGCCATTGCTTTGGAGAGAATTGTAATTTAAAAAAATTGAGCCACTTACATAACTTCTGCACCAAACCTTAGGAGTCATTTTTTAACTCTATTGCATTTCATTTTACCTTTTTTTCTCTTTTTCTTTTTTTTTTTTTTTTTTTTTTTTTTTTTGGGGTGTGTGCAACAGCTTACCTAGCTGTTCTGCCAACTATTGTTCGTTATTACGCACGAAATAGATTTGTTCACACTTGATTGGTCTCAAATCATCATGTGATTAAAATTGTTCAGCTAAAAACAAGGGGAAAACAGAAACAATCGCCTCCATTTAGCATGAAAATATGCACAGATATTCGTCCGCGAACATTATTTGTTCTGAAATGAGAACAGGTTTCCGAGATCAAAGCTTGAGGGAAACTGTTACCTTTGGGGAAATGGTAACGTCAAAGGACAAATATACGAGCATATTTTAGCGACAAATTGAAAAAATGATTACGAATGATCATATATTAGTTGCAAACGGGATATTTACTATTCAGTGTCTGATATGACTTCATGAGCAAACAAACATGTCCCTTTTTCTTGACAATAGCTAATCACTCCCTCACCTGGAATTAAATTTCAAACGAACGCATTTTTCATAGTACGCGTAGGGTTGGGAAAATTGGGGAATATCGGTTGGGGTATCCTGGGATATGCTCCAGCTTTAGCTCAGGCATTGCGATCAAGTGATGCCTTTAAGTCAGTCGCACACCAGAAAAATTACTTGATGGACCATACGCGGCAGTATATTCAAAGTCTTCGTTTTAAAATTCAATTCTCAATGTGAGACTGCTAGCTTTTAGTCGTAGTAACTGAAGTAGGGCCATCATATTTCTTTGTTGATAGAGTCATAAAAGAGAAAAATGAACATCGATACCACAGATGCAGTTAACAGTAAACTGTCTGAAAACATTTTGTCCTTTGCGCCCCAAGTAAAACCAGGAGGCCAAGACCCACCAATCCTAAGTTGGATCCCACCAATCCAATCTGGGATCCTGAGCGGGATTTTGGAACTTCCCACATGGTATCCCACCGAAATTTTCGGGTGAGATCCTGTAAATCCCACCTATAATTCTGGGTGGGATCCTGCCCTAATTTTTATGTGGGATGCCGTCAGTGCCAGCTACAATTCCAGGCATCCCGCTTCATGCACATAAAATCCGAAAAACCAATCCAATGCGAGATCCTAACTTAGCCCCCTTACAATCCCAGGTGGTATTTTTTTTTTCTCAGAGGGCACGAAACTTTAATTTATTTGATATCTGAATTCTCTCTAACAATTTTTTCGTTGTCGCTGGTGAAGTTTAAAGTCCTACTACAAATACGCACCGTAAATTACACCGCGAAAACCAAATGAATTAAACGAGAAAAATCCGCATTAACTTCCCCTTGGTTCTAGTTAAAGTGTCTCGTTTGACTTAATTTATTCAGTGGAAAACGACCGGATTTACATGCGTCATTCCAGCAAACGAACGAGCAAACTCCCACAACTTCAAAACTTACATTTGGATTTACTTACAATTACTTTCTTTGCAATTTACAGAGATATTCATCGTACGCTAATCATCGATGGAAGTGAATAATAATTTCCGTTAGATCATCAGGTGGTTTGAAGAAAAAGTTGTCTTGACAGTCATTGAACTTGAGTTTGTTTACCAAACCCGTACCCTTGTTTTTTCTTTCAAAAGTGTACAAACGCTTATTTTTCTTACGTGCTCTCCAAATTACAGGTGTCAGATTGTGACAGATACTTGTAAAAATAATGTTTTAAAGTTTGTTTGGAAGCCTTTTAAATCACCTTTTTCGCCACGTAAATAAAAATATTTCGCGGTGAGGTCTCTCTTTAATCTGCATTATCTCTGTTTTAACAACCATTTACTCGCTCAAAAATTGTTCAGTTTACGGAGGATCTTGCCGTAATTACAGCTCCAAATCATTCAGGTTATTTTGGCAGGAATTTCGTGCAGTGTTAGAAAAAAAAAAGCTAGGTCGATTCGAATTGGGAAAAACTGTGCACTCTGTCTTGAGTACTGTCCTCGGCCTACAGCCTCGAGCATTAGTCGAGACCTCGGGCACAGTTTTTCCCAATACGGAACCCCCGGTTGGCGAATAAAATATACGTATCCTGCCCCTTCTACCTTGGATCTTGTCTACTGTCTACAAGTGGTATGATGGATCCCAGCCAGGAATACTAAGCATCCTATAGAAAATCCCAAGTAACACACCACATGGACAGTTCTGAAAGTTCAACGGTTTGCGAGACCTGTATGCAGCATACTGAGCATAGAATTCGCGTTGAAAATTTTGAAATGAATGGTTACTTTTGAAACTATTGTGAAACATGCATTGGAGAACAGTTCAAAGTTGGTGCACTTATTGGCTAAGATGTGCTTTTGGCTCATATGATCGCACTTCGAATTGTGGTCTTAAATATTCCAATTTCCTTTTAAAGTTCAACAACTTGCTCTCATCAAAAGATTTCAAGTTTGAATCCAATTGTTTTGTACGCAATGATGATCGTAATAATAGCTAAATTAATGCCATTTGTCAAACCATAATATGCTCCAAGTCTCAACCATAACACTTAGAGCCAATTCCTTCTTCTTTTTTTTTAAAGAAAACTTAAATAAATGGTTATTTTTGAAAGTACGGTAATTGCTAAGAAAGTCTAGGAGTACAGGTATAACCAAGGTTTGAATTGGTACAGCATTGGCCAAAATGCACTGTTCGCTTATATGATCGTCGCACTCCAAACTGTGGTTTAAAAGTTACTAATTTTAATTAGACGTTCAACAGCAAAAAGCTTTAGAGAGAAACTTGTTGTAAGTCCCAGATAGGATCCCATTTTTCCCACCTGGAATGCCTGGTATCCCAGGTGGAATGACCTTGAGACCAAGGTGTGACAGATGGGATGCCGCTACTTCCACCTGGATTGCTGACTGCAAGGCAGGATCCCAGTCAGGATTATCTGTAAGTCCCAGGCGGGAAAGGTGGGATCCCACCTGCATTGGCAAGATCCCGCTATCTCCACCTGGGATCCCAGATAGGATTGTTGGGATCTCGCCTAAATCCTGGCTGCTTATTTACCTAGCTACAATATATTTGAGGACCCAATGCAATCATCTGTACGTTCAAACTTTGTAATGACAGAAACAAGTCGTGGGCGTCCGATATATTATGCCACTCAACCTTACGATAAATGCACCATTTAGTCAAGGTTATTTAACAAATATTTTGAGCAAAATACGGGACAACAATGTTTCCCTTTAAACTCACGCTCTTTGATATATCACAGGATCAGAGGAATAGACATTCCTAATGATGTGGTACAAATCATAAAAATGAGAAATTAGTTACACCTTATATACATGTCATCACATTCAACAAGACATTCATATTGAAAGCCAACGGAATTTCCATCGATGATCACAATGCTAGAGGGAAATTATCCTCTAAATTACAGTGAACGCTTCACTGATTTAGGACAGAATAAAGCTTTCATAGAGGATACAAGTGCTGCATGATCATGGATAGAGCTTTTAAGTCACTGCTATCTGAAATTAATACTTTCTTTTATTTTGACAATAGGATTTATTCCAGCTAGTATTTCATACTCTCATACTAGAAATAGATATGGTTAAAGTCATACTTAGGTTACCTGTCTATTATTACAAATGTCATCAATACAAAAATAACTTAGCACAGTATTTCCAAATTTCTCATACCGTAACCTAACCGTCCCCCACTGCCCCCATAAAGTGGCAATTATCGAGGCCCTTGTTTTGCATTTACTGATTTTGATTTAAGCTACAAAAACGTCGTAATAGATGGAATTAATTTCAATGCATTTGAAACAGAATTAAAACTAACACGACACAATCAAAACTGGAGCATAACCAGACAGAAGTAGGAACTTTTCGCTTTAAGTTCATTTGTACTCTCTTGTTGGTAGAATTAAAACAAGAAACCCTAGAGAAGAGCTTACACTTAGGCAAACATGAAAAAGAAAAAGCTGAAGAATGTTTACACTGGGGGATGTATAAAAACAAGGAAAAAAAATGCAGGTGGGGGATTAAACTGGGGAACTTATACAAACAAGAAAAAGAAAGCTGGAGGAGGGCTTATACCAGGAGACGTATACAAACAAGGAAACAAATGGCTAGAGGGAGGCTTGCACCTGGGAATGAATACAAACAAGAAAAAGAAAAGCTGGAGGGGGCTTACACAGGGGGACCTATACAAACAAGAAAAAGAAAAGTTGGAGGGGGACTCACACTGGGGAACCTAGAAAAACAAGAAAAAGAAAAGCTGGAGGGGGACTCGCACTGGGGGACCCATAAAAACAAGAAAAAGAAAAGCTGGAGGGGGACACACTGGGGACCTAGAAAAACAAGAAAAAGAAAAGCTGGAGGGATACTCACACTGGGGACCTAGAAAAACAAGAAAAAGAAAAGCTGGAGGGGGCTTAGACAAGGGGACCTATAGAAACAAGAAAAAAAAAAACCGGACAGGGACTCACACTTGAGGACCTATAGAAACAAGAAAATAAAAGCTGGAGTGGGACTCACACTGGTGAACCTAGAAAAACAAGAAAAAGAAAAGCTGGAGGGGGACTCGCACTGGGGGACCCATAAAAACAAGAAAAAGAAAAGCTGGAGGGGGACACACTGGGGGACCTAGAAAAACAAGAAAAAGAAAAGCTGGAGGGGGACTCACACTGGGGGACCTAGAAAAACAAGAAAAAGAAAAGCTGGAGGGGGCTTACACTTGAGGACCTATAAAAACAAGAAAAAGAAAAGCTGGAGGGGGACTCACACTGGGGGACCTAGAAACACAAGAAAAAGAAAAGCTGGAAGGGGACTCACACTGGAGGACCTATAAAAACAAGAAAAAGAAAAGCTGGAGGGGGCTTACACAGGGGACCTATAAAAACAAGAAAAAGAAAAGCTGAAGGGAGACTCACACTGGGGACCTATAAAACAAGAAAAAGAAAAGCTGGAGGGGGACTCACTCTGGGGACCTATAAAACAAGAAAAAAAAGACAAGCTGGGGGGGGACTCACACTGGAGGGACCTATAAAAACAAGAAAAAGAAAAGCTGGAGGGGACTCACACTGGGGACCTATAAAAACAAGAAAAAAAAAAAGGTGGGGGGACTCACACTGGAGGGACCTATAAAACAAGAAAAAGAAAAGCTGGAGGGGAGACTCACACTGGGGACCTAGAAAAACAAAAAAAAGAAAGCTGGAGGGGGCTTACACTGGGGACCTATAAAAACAAGAAAAAAAAAAAGCTGGAGGGGACTCACACTGGGGACGTAGAAAAACAAGAAAAAGAAAAGCTGGAGGGGGACTCACACTGGGGGACCTAGAAAAACAAGAAAAAGAAAACCTGGAGGGGGACTCACACTGGGGGACCTATAAAAACAAGAAAAAAAAAAGGAGGGGGGGACTCACACTGGGGAACTAGAAAAACAAGAAAAAGAAAACCTGGAGGGGGCTTACACAAGGGGACCTATAAAAACAAGAAAAAGACAAGCTGGAGGGGGACTCACACTGGGGGACCTAGAAAAATAAGAAAAAGAAAAGATGGAGGGGGCTTACACAGGGGGACCTATAAAAACAAGAAAAAGAAAAGCTGGAGGGGGACTCACACTGGGGAAACTAGGAAAAACAAGAAAAAGAAAAGCTGGAGGTGGCTTACACAGGGGGACCTATAAAAACAAGAAAAAGAAAAGCTGGAAGGGGATTCACACTGGGGGACCTATAAAAACAACAAAAATAAAAGCTGGAGGGGGCTTACACTGAGGGACTGATAAAAACAAGCAAAAGTAAAGCTGCAGGGTGGCTTACACCCAGGGACGTATACAAACACAAAAAAGAAAACTGGGTGGGGCTTACTTCAAGGACGTACACAAACAAGAAAAACAAAAGCGGCAGGGGGACTACACCAAGGGATATATAGAAATATGAAAAAGAAAAAATGGAGGGGGCTTACACCCCGAGGTGTTTACAAACAAGGATAAGAAAAGTGGGAGGGGGCCTATTACTTGTTCAATAATGGAAATGCTTATTCTTGTTGTTACATACACATATATCAATAGACTAAGTTACTTAACATTAGATAAAGAAAAGTGGTGATATTGAATGCCACACAAATATGTGGTATAAACAACAACATGCAAATTAAGACTTAGAAGCTTGTGTTCTATCAACAGATAACACTACAGAAACAAAAAGACTTTCACTGCGCAGCAGCAGGTGTAATATTAAAACAGAAGAACCCTTAACCCTTTACACCCTAACATTAGTGTTCATATTCTCCACACTGATCTCTCTACATTTCCTGAGGTAATAACAAGGAGAATTTGTTTGACAACAGGGGGATTTATAAACTGGTTATTACTTCTATTATTCTCACAACCCTTACACTTAATTCGAGGGTGATACTGTTAGGAGAAATTAGAAGCCAGTCACTCTTAGGGGTTTAAGGGTTAATAAACTGGTGAAAATCCTCCATCTGGCTTTAAAATACATATTGACATTTTTAGATGTTTAAATATTAGACTCCAGTGTTAAAATTATGTGATGTATCAACAGGTACATGTTGGTTATTGAAGTAAATGTTGAGTTCAGTATGATGATACAAATACATGCATATGAAGCAAGCAACTATATTGTAGGTAAATTATACTGCTCTCAAATGTATTTCTTTTTTCAGATTAGTTTGAATGCCGTACAGCTGTACAAATATCATATGCAATGACTGCAGCTTGCATGAAGACTAAGCTGTGAGACTGGCTTTCTTGGCGCTCCTTCCCCACCCATGCAGCCCTCCCAAAACACTAAATGGCCGGCAGTCTTATATTCTCACTAAATTTCACAAAACTAAAAAAATCCAGCTAGTCTAAACTATCATATGTCCATATAGAAAAGTCAAGCGATCTTGAAATGCTTCAGAGATCTCAAGTCTAGTGTTTGGTTTACGCTGGGCTCGCAAGATGACACCATGTTTTGTGTCACTTAGAACTTTTTGCAGCTCGACTGCCGGTCAAGGTGTTGAAAACCCTAACCCAAAACACTAAATGGCCGGCAGTCCTATATTCTCAGTAAATTTCACAAAATCGAAAAATTCCAGCTAATCTAAACTATCATTTGTCGATTTAGGAACGTCAAGCGATCTTGAAATGCTTTATAGATCTCAAGGCTAGTGTTTGGTTTACGCTGGGCTCAGGTTACAGGCCATATAGCTACAGCGTATCAAAAAGTCAGTTTGTTGCCTTAGATCACGTTGTGGAATTAAATTCCTCGTGTAATTCGCGCAAACTCTCTTGTGGGCATTTATAAATCCGCCACTAAGGCTACGTCAAACAAGAGAACACGTAAAAAAACTTATTTGCTGAAGAAACTATTGTCACGCGTGTCAGATAGCTGTATAAACACTAGCCCCCGTTTGGTGCGAAAATATGCACGGATATTTTTCCGCAGACACTACGAAGACATTTTCCGCTTGTATCCTAATAGTTGTTGCATCATTAAATTGTGCAAGGAAATCACGTTCTTTTTTTATGCAGCAAAGAAAACAAATTAAGTTTTAAAATAACATCAGCGAGAAATAACACTTAGCAAGAAATATTTCCCAAGTCTTTCCATTTCAGACCATTTAACTTTCGATTTCTGTCTTCATCAATTCTTGAATGCAAATTTGACTCCAGCATGTTTGCGTTATACGTCAGAAGAAAAGAAAAAAACTGCTTTCGAAATTCAAATTTTACCCACAGTTAAAGTTAGCTTACACATACCAGTAAGCTTCCCGAGTTTAAAGAACTGCATGGGAAGCTGTGACAAGGATTATTGACACCGTGCGTTTCTTTACTTGCGGTTCGTAAATGTCCCCACATAATTATTTTAGGATGGTTTGTTGGTGACGTTTTTCTTACCTTTAGCCTGGAGCTTCTCTCCTGATGTAGACACAATCTGTCACACAACGCTTGAAATCGATTCGACCAGAAGCTGTTGGAAAAAACTGATATGAATTAAACTCAATCAAATAAAACCACTCGGTTTCGTTTTTTGATGAAATACCTCAAGTTGAAGGTTCTTTAAATCGTCTATCTCGTACCCATGCTTCTGAACCCAAAACTCACTTTCTACATGTCAACAAGTGATTTGCTCTATACGAATTTTAAAGACGCTGCATTTAGTTCGCGTCGATCCAGTGTTGCTTTGCAATGATGCAATGCTTCCAAAATTGGGGCGTCGTCTGTCAGATCACGCGATCACAGACAATCGTACGTCAATCACCTTATACCAAAGAATCAAAAGCACTCATACGGATGACCGCGTGCAACAGAACAACTAAATGTCTATTGTAAAATGTAACTGTTACGACAAAGTTCCAAAATACCGCAATCCCTGGGCCTTTCACTGCCAAGATCTCATTGGTAATATTCGTTATTGTCTGTTTAGAGCGATAAATGTGATTCAATGTAGAGTACGTGTTTGTCGATTCTCGGAAAGAGTCAGGCGTGCATTGGTCAGCTTCAAAACAGGGAGATAGAACGGAAGAGTTGAAAGAAATAACTGCAATGCTTGTTGAGCGACTAAATTTCTTCTTTTATTTGATATATTCATTTTACGTGATCAACTGCATGTGGACGTGAATGTTCCCTTAGTTATAAACTCAGTGGATTACACTTACCATCGCAATGACCTTTTCTTCGTCACTCAGTGCTTACTATTGTATCTTCGAACAAGGAATGGATTTCTAAATAAAAAAAATAACAAGTTAACATGTAGAAGAGAACCTCATGATCAAACTGTCAACCGGAATCTTGTTGTTGGTGGAGGTTAAGCCGTTCGTCTGTTCACGCGAACTTAATCTCAGAAAATATTCCTCGTTCAGATTGTCCCATATTTTGATCTATACTTGAGTGCAATGCTTGAGTTCTGTAGGATATGTACGCGTTTGAAGATCAAAAACGAACGAAAAAGCATGTTTCAAGACCCTCCATATATAAAGGACGTCTATGGAAACATTTCAATTAAGGGTGCAAGGTCTACCACTCGCAAGTGATGGAGCTTATGACAAACACGATGCCTAATTCGTGTCAAATTTTACTTGCACTTTAAGCTGAAGCGTCCTTAATCTACCCTTTGCTTGCAATGGTTTCGGTGTAAGACCTCAAGCGCCGAAATTGCTCTGTAAAATCACGCAGCAAACATCGAATTAACTGAGAACTGACATCGACTGCATTTTGCGATTAAGGTATGCTACATTTAGTTACGTGATGGAAAATTCTTAGTCGAAGACTGTTTGTTACCTTTGAACGCGTCGTGGAATTACATTCCTCGTGTAATTTGCGCAAATGATGTGAGTAATCAATCGTGTAGAATTTTTTTCTACGGAGATTTGTAGAATGCGGGAGACAGTGAACCTCATCGAAAGGAGTTTACATAAGCAGAACACAGCCCACAAGTCAGTTATATCTGAGAGAAAAAACTCTCTGCTAGCTGCCCTGAGGCAACTACTTCAATTAATAAAACTGAAAAGCTCCATACATGCAATCACCAGGACTCACATGCAAGAATGGTCAATATATACACTCGCATGAAACTTCTCTTAGCCACTGCAGCCCTACAATAATGACAGCAACCAGACAAACACTTAAATAACTGCAGAGCTTCCAAAGAATATCATACACCTTCACTCTCAAAAGTAGATCATCTATGTAATGTGCATCACAGTAACTTCATTTTGGTAGAATATTGATCAAAACCAGTAAAAATTAGTGCACACTTTACTGTTTGATCATCATACAACACCTGCAGTTCCATGAACAGACCCAAAATTGTACCAATGCCATTACCATTTTTATATTAAGATAACTATTTCTGGTATTTCCACATGTTTGTAGCCAAACATAATCACAGCCATCAATCACAACATAATTAAATGGGTAATTAATATCATGCACAGTTCTTGATATAACATAAATACCAGGCAAAATAATAAACACTCACAGTACAGGTTTCTAATGTGACACTCAATTTTACATTGGAGGAGCCCTTAGGGTTACTGATAATGAGGTTGAATTCAAATTTCTTCATCAAGTTGTGAAAACATTTAACTAGCCTCTAAGGAGCAATATTGATATTGTCCACAAGAGAAGAGTCTACTGTGGCTCCAAAGAGCTGAAAGGCATTGGACATTTCAATGTTCCAAGTCTTTCATATATCGAGAGGCTTTTTAAATATCTTCAAAGAGAAAATGTTTGCAAATAAATGATCAAATTTATAACTGCAGATTGCAGTAGTTAAACACTGCTTTAATTACTAAACTTAGATTGTTCTGAACTTTTTGTGAGCGTACTATTCCCGCAAAGTCAACTTTCAGATTACTATTTTTTAAACAATTTAGGGTCTCCTTATCCCAAAAATTCATGATTGGGCTGGATATGAAATATTTTAAATTTCACTATTTAGACAGTTGTAAAATAGAATAGGTCATGATGGTTTTGGTTATTTTTACCATCTCGTTAAAATTGCTCTTGCCATCCGATGAAATATACTTTTACACAAATGTTTTGGCTGTTAATGGTTATATGTAATGGTAATTTATGAATATCTTGAACATTTTGGATTGTTTACATGATCTTCGTGATTCATCCAGCACTGGGTTAGACTTTGAGCTTCAACATCCGTACTACTATCAAAAGTAACCTCTCCACATGAAAAAAATTATTTATGCAAAATCACCATGGTAGCCGCTAATTGCCAAAGGGTACCTTAAAGGACTTAAGTTAGGTTTAACTTGGCAAAACCTATGATAGACACTTTGCATGAATGTACTAATTTCCCAAGACATGCAAGCATGGGGTGATAATTGCTAATCCATATGTACTTTGTCAAGGATGGAACCAGATCTCTGCATAAGATCTTCCATATTCCTGTTTTAGGAGGGGCACTTAAACTTTGATTTGACAGTGACCCAAAATTGAGTCTCTTAAATGTTAATATTCATAAGTCAACGTACAGTTGAAGCACTCTACAAACCCAGTCGTACTCAGTAATTAAACCAGCAGTATATCAGAAGGACGACCACCAGAATTTCAGCAACATTTTCTAAGAGTATTTCCACTTGTTTGTAGCCAAACATAATCTCAACCATCAATCACAACATAATTAAACAGGTAATTAATATAATGCATAGTTCTTGACATAACTTTACCAGGCAAAATAATTAATACTCGCATGGATATAAAAGAAATGAGAGCATGTAGAATTTTAAACATATGCAAACAGGACACAATTAATCCCAGCAAATAAATTATTAACTCTTTAATTCTCACATCAAATTTGTAATTCTCCTTTCTCCCAACCGTACAATTCTTGTTACGTTAGTTCAGAGAATTTAGTATTGGATCAACTAATTATCCCCAAATTTATATTTTTCTTCACTCTCATCACTTACATGTACCTGGTTGATATTGTGTTGATATTGTAAGGAGAAATTCTGTCTTGGTCACTCATGGGAGTGAAAGGGTTATTTACAGATTGACAAAATGAAGGTAAGTTTCAAAAATGGGAGAAAAAAAAAGGAGCAAGTCCTCCTACCTTGTATAGAGTTTCCTCGGTTCAAGAAAATAACCCTTGGAGCAGGGATAAAGTCAGAAAGTCTGAAAATGGAAGCAGCAGAACAACAGGTACTATATATCAGTTATGAAAGACAATGACAGTCACAAATAAGGGCACTAACAGGTGCCCCGAGGTTATAAGTGGTATTAACGGCAACATTATATAATTATATCAAAGTAATTTCATATTATCAACTGAGTTGATAATGTAAACTTGCCACTGTGATGAGTTTAAAAGCTGACAATTCGTTTCTCAGCCCAATTGTGCTGACGAAGGGCTAACACTCAAAATGTCATCTTTTTAAACCTTATCAACTTAATTGATAAAACCAAATTATCCTGGTACACTCTCCCTCTGAGGCAGCATCACAGTTTCTTTAGAAACTTTATACCCCCTTTATGCATTTATAATTATCAAAAGTCAACTAGAATAAAAAACAACAACAATAACAACAAAAACCACCACGATTCACAAAGGCTGACCAAATGTGACCCTCCATATGATTTCAGGGACAAAGGTGATAACACACACACAACACACTAACACATCATGCAGAATGCCAATTGTTCTCATGACATTTACTAACAGTAGCAAAAAATATACTGATCTGTTATGATAGCAGCGAACTGTACTCTGGAGAGCTTTGATTGGTCATAGATTATGCAGGCTTTCCTCCTCAGGGAATATCACTCTAGCTCATTAATTGTTCAGGCGGAGTTAAGAAACAATAGCTTAATAGAAAGTTATTGTTTATGCTATTGTTAGAAAAAGTCACCCATTCATACTTGTGTTACAAGCTGGATAAGCATTCAGTTTTGAAACCTTTTGTTACATATTCATCTCCTTCTACAGCTTACTCAATAAACATGTTGGTTCTACATCAACCATAATCAATACCATTCTTCGAAATGAAATGTGCCCTCATGATTCCAAGAATCCTGAGTGCAATTCCATGTTACAGACATTACATTCATAAACTAACTTTTTGGAAACTAATTTCCTTAACAAACTTATTTTGCACAGTTTTCAATTTATAATTTGTACAAACATTCCTCACAGGGTACTTGACCGTCAGCAGAAAAGAAACCTTTCTTTCTATAACAAAGGCTTCCAAAATTTTTGTGTTAAACTCTGTTACAGACATTACAAAAAAATCAACCTAAAATTTTTTGTGTTCACTTGACACTTTTTTCCCAGTGAATTGACTATTCAGAAATAGATCGTTTAAAATAATAAGAACAAGGCTGCTTCATAGCTTTTTTAAAATCTAGTTGTATCCCTTATTCTGTAGTTAGATTTGAGCTTGAGCTAAAAACTTCCTGTTGTGGACATTACACAATTTTTG